AGGGTACCATTCTTCAGGGATAGCCCATTTCTGAACCCTTGTACTTTGATATAAACACTCATTTTGTTTAATAGGTTTCAAAAGGTCGCTACTACTAATCTTAACTGCAACAGTTTTTAAATTTTCAGCTCGCATTTGTATTATTTGCGCACGTAATGCTTTCAGAGCATTGTGGCTAGTAGTTGATTATTAATCTGTATTTACCAGATTACTTCTCTAAGGCAAATTGACATCACCATGCTTTAAAGCCTAGTAGTGCTTGCTGTGGCACTGTGCACTAGTACAGAGCCTCCAGCTCTTTTTCACTTGTCAACAGCCGCAGGTTGTGGAGAAGGGGACAAACTGGTCTGGTTTAACGAGAGTTTGGCAATCTGCTTCTCACAGCAGCTTGTTTTTCCTTGCCTTGGCTCACAGGGCTCACAGCGACTACACCCTAGGGACCGACTTCTGCAGCCTGCTCCAACCCAAACCTTCAAGCCCCTGCTCTTCGAAGACCTGTGCAGAAGGATCTGTGCTGATTGGAGGAGAGGCACTGCACTGGGAGGCCACAGGGGGCGCCGCGAGCTGAGAGAGCCCTGGCTGAACCCACACTACCCTCAGCCACACCCAGCCAACTATGCACAACCACCTGGGGGCTCCCAGTCACACTGACAAGACCTAGGCTTGAACCCGCGGCCGACGGGCTCAACCTACTTTCTAGCGGAGAATAAGAGAGGACTAAACTGGCTCGTAAAGCCACTTCTCAGTTCACAGACAGAACCACTGAGGGCGCCTAATGGCTGAGAGCCCGACCCAAAACGAGGAAATAAACAAAAACGTCTCAAACAAAAGAAGAAAAATAAAGGGAAAGTCTCCTTTAGAGCCCTGGCTGTGCAACAGAGCTCATGGCAGGAAGTCCAAAAGCACCAGGGATGCTATCTCCCTCACCTCAGATCCTCCTGGACTTCTCAGATCTAGTTTAGACTGTCTCGGGCTTCCGTTCATTGTAGTCCACAAAGGAAAGTCCGGTATCAAAGAGGGAATTTGCGCTGCAGTCACATCTCAGTATCGGACGAGATTTATCAAGATGTGTCTGATTCCAGTGCTGGGAAGTACTGTATTCATGGTTTCTCTACGTTCACAGAACATTAATAACAATTTGTTCAGAACCTCCACACCACAGTGTTCATTGTTTCTTTTATAACAACATACTTCTCCTTAACAAGCAAATAATCACAGGGACATCGCATTCCGCAGGCAAAGATAAATATGCGTATAAAAACAGTATCGCACTGTATATCAACTTGGCAACAGGAGGGCTCTGCTATAAGTTATCAGCATCACCTTTGAACTGGGTTTAAGGGATGATGAGGCAGAACACACAGCTGTGGAGATAAGTGAAAAGCAGCTTGCCTTGGTTGCAATGTTTATGGTTTTGAACAAAGAAGCATGCCCTAATTATGAACTACTACCCGCTATGAAAGTGAAATCAAATCATAAATTGGGTCCAGCCAGCTGTAAGCAATCACACTCTCTAGGATCCTGGATGACTTTGTCACTCTACGTCACTCTACGTACGTGCCACTGCCTAATGTACAAAATCCAAACCAAATGTCAGACATCTGTTAAACCATTAAACTTGTGACCTAGTCAACTGTCCACGTATCTCGAAACAGCAGCAGTTTTGTAAGACTTTGAAAACTTCATCACCCACATCAGTAACTCTCACCACTGAAAGATGTCATACTGTATATACAGTTGCTAGATTTCCCGAACCAGACCAAAGCGATGTGTTTATGCATCTGATGTGTGTGCAATTCCCAAGTGTCACAACTACAGTACAAGAGCCTGGGCAGAACACATGTTCTTAATAGCAAAATAGTCCACACACGGTGGGCTGTTGAATGCCTAGTGGAATACAGCACTAAACCGACAGGATATATATGTTGATCTTTAATTTCCTTCGTGCATTTCATTTCAGATTTGAGAGGGACGGGCCTGATTCCCTGTGCAACTCCACAGATGACAGACTTCCCATTTCCCTCCCGCTGGGTCCAAGCTAAAGGACCACAGTGCTGTGCAGGTGTCTTCCCTGTTCTGGCCTACACCTACGCCTACGACAACCTCAGCGTGGGAGAGCACCGTATTCAAATTAAAAACAGAAGTTAAGAAAGGCAAGACTGGACACATCCCTCCTAATTAAAAAGGCGGTTTCCCGTGTTTGTCAACCCAACCTGTTATAACTATTAGCGATGCCCCACCCCCCACCCTCAGGCACGAACAGCTCTCGCCTGGGCTGCTCACACCTACTGGATGCCTTCTCCCACACTGCCGTGGCCCTCTGAGCTGACGTCAAGCCCTGTACGCATGCAGCTAATAAAAAAAGGCTAATTCGTTACCCGCAGAGAAGTAAAACCTTTGGCTGAAGTTTGATGTTTATTCCTGAGGCGCAACCACAGCCCTGTTTGAGGGTCGACACTCCTGAGCCAGGTACTTCACACCTGTCGCCCAGTCCCGGTCACGATTGCAATCCCTCCGGCTCTTTCACATTTTAGTGCTTTCACAGGTGCATTTTTGTGCACCTGCCTCCCATCCAGACCCTCCTTATATAAGCCCGACGCTCCCACTATTCCGGGCTCTGCATCGGAAGACGGACACCCGGAGGCCCGCCTACCACCAAGTCGCCCTACGCCCGCGGCTTGAGGGCACAGGCCTCCTATCGGTGTCCTGACCCAGCTGGGTCTGGGGCTCAGAGCGCCTGGTCCTGTTACCCCTTTTTTATTCCCTCTCCCTGCACCGGATCCCGTACCGGATTTTAACTGTGTCTTGTTTTGTCCTGGATGGATCACCCGGTACTGGACCTTTGGACCTCACCCCGGATTTCCCTTTGGACCCCCCTGAGCACCCGTGCACAGTCGTCACGCCCCCCTGTTCGTCAGCCTGCCCAGTTCCTCACTGCCTCCTCCCCGTGCCTGTTTCACTCCCTTCCGGATTCTGCCGTCTGCACGGGGTCCTGATCTACGCCTCGCAACAGTCCCATCAAGACCAGCTTCCTGCTGGCCTCGAGCTGTCAGCTCCATCTCTAGCACAGGCTCAGGCACCTTGCTGTCACACTCCTTCTCTGTCCTGTCCCTAGTTTCCGGGCTGCTGTCCTTCCTGTCCCTCTCTTTCCCTTGGGCTATATATTTCCTGGTCTTGCACTCTGTCATGGCTCAGCATTGACATTCGGATGTCCTGAGACCCGCCTAGCACCAGGTCGCCCCACGTCCGCTACCTGAGGGCATCGGTTTCTATACGGCATTCCTGAACTCTCTGCACTACGAGCCCGGGCCTTTTTCCCGTCTCGCCGCTACACATATGGGTCTTTTTCCACTCTCCTGCTGCCCTCGGGTAGTCCCTTTGGACGTCCGTGACATGCTGTCCTTCCCTTCTGCAAACCCGTTTTCAAGCACAGGCTGCCTCCTTTGTCCTGCACTGCCTCTCTGTTATTCACTGGGCTTCCCAGTGTGAGGAAAAATCCAATCATTTCCCAAGACTGTGCAACTGCAATTCTGTTCTTTCCACTGGGAACTTTTAGTGACTGCTTACTCATGACTTGCAAGTGCGTGTGCTCTTTCATGTCTAAAAAAGACTTACTGTAGCTCTCACTTTCATCCTTAACCATTGGATCCTGTTCAATGTATGGTATTAGGTATTCACGTGTATTGTTTATTTTAAACCTCTTTGAGATTTTGCGTCACGATAAAGACTTAATCATATAAACTACTCATCATTTAGTAGTATTAATCGTAAAAATACTATTAATGCGTGATAGTATTCATTTTAAGAGGTGCGCTGTTAGTGCTGCTGTATATAGTGGTTTGACGTTTATGCACCGATTGTAAGGGTAGATTATTTTAACTCTTCGTTTGACCTTCTCACCGGCTGAGCACAAGGAGTTAAACGCAGTCTTACACATTTAGGGTTGGACTAACACAGTAAGAGCGCATGTTTGCACTGTTTTACAGGAAGACATTAGCTTTCATTACTGAAGTTAAATGCACTACGTGCACAAAATGAATTACGATCCTGCGTTTATAAACATATTTTCTTGACTGGTCGATATGCAAAACTGTTATTAAAACGTATAGATCAGCACCCAGAAGTAACAGCCTTAACATATTTCAACATTCTACCCTGGATAGTAATGTCCTATCGATATCTGTAAATGCTTCAGTAACTCCTTAGCGATAATAACCTGGTTTATTACTAGTCTGAATTTAAGAGTGTTTACAAAGGAGAGTTTAAAAGCAATCTGGATATTAATAAATATGCCCCCGAAACCGTCGATCGCTCCTCAAAGCGCGCTGGCGGTTGATGCGTGTGGGGGGCCGGTGCCCACTTCCCCCCTCACGCTCGGGAGATGCTGTGCACGCTGGCAATATCGGTCATGAAACCGCTTTAACACTCCGAATTTAAACACCTTGTTTGAAAGTTATGGAAGTGCTGTAGTCGTGAGCTTTTGCCAAAGCCTGGTTTGACGCCGAATCCCCCTTTGAGTCAGACGGAGCTCGGCCGCCGACTTCGGCCGGGCAGGGTCAGCACAAAAAATGTGTTTGGATTGTCCCGGTCACCGGTCCAATTTATCAGAAATCATTGTGATAATATTCATTTGATACCGCTTTTTTTTTAAATTCAAAACTCGTGTTTTGCTCATTTCAGGTATTGTGTACTGACAGCCTCCTTTTAAACCACATCGCAGGCTACAGTGACAGAATTAGCGCATAATGAACCAAAACCGTCTCGTTATCGTGGTATTGCCGCCGTCATACCTGTTATCAAAGCTCCTGTTTCGGTGTTCGTTTTTTAAAGTCCACGATGTTTTCAAGTCGTGTATCGTCGCCGGCTCCCGTAAAAAAATTCCGTTCACCGTACTTTCCTAAGTTATTTCTTCACCTTTACAGAGACGGAATCCCCTGAATTACGCACACGACTGCTTCCATAACACACACACACACAAAGTTCGTTTGCGCCGCTCTTACCTTGCCGGAGCCGTGCGTGCCGAGCGACTTCGTGCGCTCAGGTCTCCAGGTGCTGCGGCTCGTCGTGGGCTGGGACCGCTGTCAGTGTCTGAACAAGCTCTCGCCCGCTGCTGGTTCTGCCCCCTCTCTCTCCCCCACTTCTTTTCTTCTCGCAGACACTCGCAATCCTGTCAGCCTGTGAGCTGAATGCTAATGGGGCTCGGTGAATGGAGGGCTACGGGCCACCCCCGGGCGGACAAGGCGCGGGATGGGGCACTCGCGGGGTGTGAGCCCCCCACAGGTGTAGTGAAATAGTGAACTCGCAGGTACCGCGTATCGGGAGACCTTCGGCTTCCACGTGTGGGGCTGGCTGGCTGCCCTCAGGTGCGCGGCAGGAGAATGTGCACAGGTGAATAAAGCATGAGCGAAAGCAAATCCTCTTTGGAACTGGCAGGTTCCCGACAGAAGGCGAAAGATGTGTGCAACTGGGTCAGCTGCTCGGCAAGCCGAGAAAGAAAAATATAACTATTACTCGGGAAGCATTTTTTTAAGTATTACTGGTACCTGAAATACGCAGGAAGTGACACTCCAGACAGATGGGATTACACCGCGGGGATATTTTTCACACCGTAGTTTTGTGCGTGTGCGTTTTACGATTTATACGAAAATAATAGACGGACAACATCAGTCTTGAACGAGCGGTGTAAAACGCCGCATGTGAAAACATTCATTACCCTCGCGTGGGGAGTGTCCCGAGTTGGAAGTCACAGAAAACTCACGATATACACTCGCTGTCGCGAAGACACAAGTCCCATTGGACGAGAGAGTTAATTAGATCCACAGCCAAACACCAGGGACTCCAGTGCAGCCCGCAGATGCTGCTGGACTGAGAGAAGCATCCTGGGACCCGACCACCGGGTCTTAGAAGCGGCTCAGGATTAAAAAAAACTTTTAGTTACAAAGACCCTCATAACCTTGCGACAGTGGTCTAGACGCGTGTGGACGGGCAGGGGAGACGGTCCTCAAGCATTTAACAGTGTAAAAGAATCTTCCCCTGTGAAGCATATCTGAGACCCCCAGCGTCCCCCTCCTATTTCCTTTCTCCTGTGTGTGAGTGCATACAGTACATGTGCATGTTTTGGCCTGGGAAGAACTCGAGATGGAAACTCCGTCAGCTGCAACCCGGTTCCAAAATGCTTTATAGGCCCCCATTTTCACGGGTCGGTTTTAATTTTTCGCCTTTGTTTAGCCGAGTGTATACAAAAATATTGACACACCTGTGTTAAACTGCATCCGAGGTTGTGTTTGTTTTACTTGCAGCAGGAAGGAAAAGGGAATTGGGAGCTATTTCATATTTATCTAATAATTCATTTGTTTTACAATTACATTTCTCTTATCTCTCTTCTTCAATACACAGGATGTTTAAGACACACTGAAAAAGCGGTGGCATGGAGATTGCTAGACTTGAAATACCAGGAGCTTGCATTTCTCCCATTATATACATTCCCTTTATTTGTCAAGTTAAGGTGTTTGCAAACCAGTTAATTGAAAAATAGAAATCTAATCTAAAAGCAGAACTAACAGCAGGTCTGTCATTTAACGATTTTCCCATGTCTGTGGCTTAAGAATGTTTCTGTGCACAGTGTAAAACGTTTACGCCTTTTTTCTAAGCTACAGCAGTACATAACTTATTTTAATCCTTTGTAAAGATCACTGCAGTAAGAGATATGGCAGGCCACCTAAGCACATAACTCAAATAAAATCTTTTGGAACTCTCCTGTAAACTTGAAATTATTACTGTCATGCTTTGCACACAGAACTATAAAATACGATTTTCGTCTTTTATTAAATATCAAGTATATTTAAATGAATTACACAGCAGACGGATGATATTAATATTTTGTCATGTGAATGTCGTTTTTGGGGGGGTTTCTGGCTGTATAATAGAATTAATCAGAACGGTGTAACAAGTTGTTTTCATAGCAGCACTTTTAAAGAAGAAAAATGAACTTAAAAGTTTTACTTTTTTAATTCTGATATTACTGAACAGAATTATATGACCCTGAAGTATCATAATTAAGATGTAAAAAGAGCGGCCTGGATCATTACAAAGTATCTTTATATCAGAATATTGATTTTTCTAAGCGCAAGTGGACAGCACTTTCTGTGAAAAATCTTGCAGGTGGACAGCATACACCTGTCCATCCCCAACCTCTTCTGATCTGACCCCCACAAATAGACTGAAAGTGGGAAAAACGGAGCTCAGGGGGGACACTTCGTTTTGCAAGGAACTCATCTCTGTAAGACGCAGCCTCGATTCTACGGGGAATTTTTCAGCGCAACCGCTTCACAGCACATCCAGTTTCCTTCCAATTCAAGATCCAAGAAAGAGACGCCTGCTTCCGATCGGCGCCAGACCAGTAATGTAGCCCGAGAGTTTCTGGGCTTCAGGGATGGGAGCCCACAACCCGACTCAACGCCAAATAATGCAGCAAGTGGTGGGGGCTGGAAAACAGTAGGCGGTGGTCAGGGTGCTGGAGATCCGAGGACTGGAGAGGGGCAAAACGCAAGAATAAGCGGGTTCAGTCTGCTTCTGTGTTTCATTCAAGGTGTATAAATAGTGTTTAGCGTTTTCGGTCTTTATTACACGGCGACAAACTTCTTTTTAAAAGGCAATTACTACAGCAATCATGACCTCCGCGCTAGATCCTGAATGAACAAAACGTATTTTCTGCCTTCCTCGGTACAGGATGTCTGCACCGTTATTGACAATATTCCTTTTGAATATTTTAGTTGTAATTGTTGTCAGCTACAGACATCCCCAAGCTGTCTGAAAGAAAACGCGTTCAACAAGTATGCAGGCGTATACACCTGAGCAGGTGCAGTAAACTGTGGAAGGGTTCGGTGCAGAACTCGGTATTGTACACTCAGTCGTCACGTGTAAACTGTGCTTCGGGGACTTCAGAAGCGAACTCTCAGGGGTCAAGATATCCAGTGCAATGCAGCTCGTCTCGTTTTGCAAGTAGCGGGAGTTTTAGTCTTTTTAATCGCGATACAGAATCGCCAAGGGCAAGGTTAAACCAAGAAGTCAGAAATCAAGAAACAAAACAAACTACAGCGCAGAACATAACGTTCAACCATTAGGAAACACCACTTGCGCATTCAAATAAAAACGAGGCAAAACGCTGTGAAGCTGGACACACCGCTGCCCAGCTCTGTCTACCGAAGAGCGGAGCGTATACTCATTCACAGTAGGCTGCGCTGTCAGGTGACGGCTTTGCATCATTCTGTGCTGTGTAAACATTGAAACAGATTGTTTTAGAAAACAATCTGCGAATTCGTTCTGGGTTATTTTTTAATCTACGAATTACTAGCTTTCAGAACATCGGGAAACGGAAGAACGGGTTTAGAAGACGGAATTCACCTTGTTCAGTCCTTATCGGCACTTGGCACCAATTTCACCTTCGCTTTTGTGGTTTTGAGCGTCGTAAAAACATTTAAAGTCCACATGAGCTATTGGCTATTACGTTTATTTTTATTGTCATATTTCTTTTAATCGTCGTGTCGCCAGTAGAGACAACAGGCTATTAATCTGTAAGTGTGCACTTACGTTCCTCACAGAGTAACCGCATGAAATGAGTGCAGTATTTTTAGTACAGTATGCAAAGTAGATTGCAAAGTCATAACAGGTACATACTGTAACTCCATGAGTTGCCACAAAACACGTGAAGCTTTTATTAATCCGATCAATTATAATTACAATGGTTGCCTGCAAATTATAATCTGACAAATGTTGGAAAACGAATTGCAAAAATTATTTTAACTCGGCGTCAGATTATAAATAATCAAAATCTCAAATTAAAGGAATTTGTTAAAGACCAGCGGGTTTAAGTAACGCATTGTCTGGGTTAATAATTTGAGCAAATAGATACTGAGATACTGCAGGCGTGACATTTCTGCAAGATATTAACTGGATCCAAATCTGATAAGAGACGTCAGTATTTGCCAGTCATATGTGCGCACTTTGAATTTATCGCGGATTATTGGTACAAGGAAACAATCTCCTACGTGTTTTATTAAGGTGTTGGTTGGGTTTAGCGCTGTAACCCAACAGAAAGACGAGAGTTCACGACCAGAGCTCAGCCTGTGGGCGGGCTGCACCAGTGGGGTGGATGTTTCATTGAAACCCCGACGTGATCAAACAGTAACAAGCCACCGCCCAAGAACTGCGACAGTGCCAGTGGACTTTTCCAATCAGGACGTGTCAGAATGGTATTATTTCCTTTCATCGTTATTGTGACTCTCCCTGCTGCTGTGTTACCTTTAACGAAACCTTCCAGCACTTTCCATCTCCCAGGCTGCGTCCAGTCGTTGTGGACAACTGGACACTGACCAGATGACCAGTGCAGAAGCTAAGAAGGCTGTTGGCAGGGCATGCGGTTTTTCTAGCAATAACACTGACACACATTCAGTGCCGGCTCACTAAGACAAACCTGTATTACAACTTGAACTTGCACGAAGACAAACTTCCCATTTTCGCAAATTCAACGAATCGAATTCAAGCGGCTCCTGATTCGCTCATTCAGCACCGATTCACAGACACATGGTCTGTGGTCTGAAGGCGTGGGGCAAAACTATAGGAGTGAACCAGACACTAATCCCCAGTCAAGCAGAAACAAACAGCTGTGGGAGGTCTGGAATCATTTGATTATATCTCCTGCAGGGTTTTTCGTGGATTTTGACATGCGATCCTAAATCTCGTTGTGTTTGACCAACTCATCGCCCTGGTTTCACCATGTTTTCTTGACACTGTGCAGTGATTGTAACGTGCTAAACTGACGTACACTGTAATTGCATTACCTCTGCCAGGTATGGAAAGGGCAGAGCACAAGATTTGTGGGCTATAAAACAGAGCAATAAACAACCAACAAACTAGGAACTGAACCTGGAGCCATGAAGATGTGACCTTTTAACATCCGAGAAAGATCACCAGAGTTTTTCCAACGCCTATCTGTGCTAAGAGCTCCAAGAGTATGATTTCCTGTGGAAACTGAAGATTGGCTTGTTCTCAGGAAACACTTATGGAGGGATTTAAAAACTTAAAAAGAGTTTCCTATCTGCTTTATTGAGATGGAAAGACTAAAAGACAACCTGGCAAATAACAGTCATACCTTTAACCTGGCTCCAGTATTTTTGATGAATCCAGCTAGTGAAAAAAAAAGGTCTTTGGAGTGATCCTGTGGGTCTACAGTTCAGCTCCAGACTGCAGCTCAATACTTTCGGTCCAACTCCAGACCTGTGGCCAACACTGATTTGACACAGACGCTTTTGAGGACAGCACTTCACAGCAAAGAAGAATAAGAGCAATTCAAGTAAATCCCATACATGCGTTGAACAGCAAAAGAAACAGCTATCATCTCACTCTGTTTGCTTTAAAGAGTGTGCGTATTTCTAGAAAACTGAAGTATACGGATTTTGGATTCTGATTAAATGCTTGTGGCGGGATGTCGATTAACTGATTGTAGTAGTTCTAATGATATATTTTATTTATAAAGAGCCTTTCGAAACCCAAGGAAGTAGCTTAACTACTGAATGACCTTTATCAGGGACAGGTGATGGTGTGATTGTGCGCAGCTGAGGAGGCGAGTTAGGCTGGTGAAAATCATTTCAGCACAGAGAGGAACCGAAGCTCCACCTTCATCAGAGGAACAACACTCTCGAACCCTTGACCTTCCCCCCCTCCCCCATGTCGGGCGTTGGACTAAATCTGAGCGCATCTCTCACTGGCTGGGAATTTCATTTCTACCTTGGCAAGATGTCACAGCTGCGCACCGTCCGTTAGGACCTGGGATACGTCCAGCCATGACACCTCACCCAGGTCAAAGGTGAGTTCCAGCTGTGGTAGTCAGCACCCTGGAATCTCCCAGCCACATCCCAGCAGGACAGGACACTCTCTCCCGGGCAAGAGCAGCTTTCTTGTGACATGAGAATATGGCAGTTCACCAGGACAGAGCTGGATTGATCAGATCATTGGCGGGATGATCCGACCACTGAACAGGCACACTCTTGTACGGGTTTCTGCAAAGGGAATGGGACAGAATCGCACACTAGCCTGTGACTTTCACAATCAACGCTGGTTAATCAGTCCTGTTGATGAGAAATCGGCCTAATGAACTTACCTCTGGCATGTGTGAACACTAAAATATCACTACACCTGCTACAAAAAGTTTGTTATTTTCCAGACTTTTCTATAAGTTGGATGCTGCAGTTACAAGCGACACAATTCTCACGTGTGTATGAGTAAGTAATATACACCTACTTCATGTGAGTAAACGCAGCGCCAGTATACCCACGGGACATTGACGACCAGGCTGACAAGGAAAAGGTTGGCGAGCACATTCTCAGACAGGGTTTGCATATTTCTAAAACCTGTAAGTGGTATAGTTCCAGCATCTCGCCACCAGAGGGCACCCCAACCTCTAGCGCCTACTTCATTTGCGCAGCAGAGGCGCAGATCAAGCAGACGACAGTAGCCAATCCCTGCTTGCCCAGTGTCCCTACCTCACCCCACCTCCCCTCCCCAAACCTATTTGAGCCCTGCTCTTTGTTCTGTGTTGTTTGAACTTCTTTGAGCTCTTGAGTTAGCCTTTTCTGAATTCTTCGCTGCTTTTGTCTCCTGTGCCTGTTAACTTCCCTTTTCATCATTTGCTTTGTCCTTGTTCCTGAGTTTGTTTGCTTGTTGGTTCTGGTGTGGGTGTCCTCTGTGTGGTGTTCTCAGCCCCGGGTCTGTTGTTTTCTTCCTGGACTCCTTACCTGGTTTTTGGATTTTGGCTGGATTCCTGCCCCTAGACTAGATTGGTCTTCTGACTTTGGACTTTTGCTCGCCTCTTGACCGTGGCCTCGGATTTCTCTTATTCACTGTTTTAGGATTTTAGTGACCTTGGAACCTGCCTAGGGTCCATTCCTGGATTTCTGAGCTGTGGACCAGCCTTACAGTAACTGTCCACAAACACTATTCAGAATTTCTAGTTTCCTTTGGGATGCTCAAAAGAAAGAAAGAGCAGCTCCAATCCTCAAAGGATGCAGTCCTGTAGGTTTTACAGGGACTTTTACTTGAGCAGCTTATTTAAGGCTTAAAAATCTATTAAATTAAAGCTAGTACTGTAAACTCGTTATAAAACGTGTTTAATTAAATAAGAGCGGAGATGGAATAAAAACTAGAGGATGCTCAGTTCTCCGAGCACTGCAGTCACTCATCCCTGGGCCTAAAGACAATTTAAGTTGAGTTCTGAATTTAAATAAAATCTCAGTGAAAGTGTCCTTCCCAATACATCACAGTACAATGAGGCAGATTATTCATATAAGGTAAAGCAAATTATTACACCAAAGTATTGGGATTGCAACAGCTGCAAGCGTGAATATTTACAAAGCATTTGAATTCAGTTACAGGAGAATGTCTACCAACGCTCATGACGCTGTGGCACACAGAGGAGGGTAGGAAGGTGGAGCACCCTGGTGAGGGGGGACATGTGCCACTCATTGCCAGGACAAATGCAGTGCAAACATGGCAGTAAATGACAAGTCTATCCAACCACATCCATCCCGAAGCTCAGTTCCAGACACTGAGATGTGGAAAATCAACATCAGTCACACACACACACACACACACACACACATATCAAATCGGAAGCAGTGCTAGTCACAGTTTGTTATAACAATGTAGTAAAACAAGACTTGAGCTCAGTCCGGACTTCACACTGTTCCAATACCTTGTTAAGGGTATCAGGTATCAAGTGACAATTAAAAAAAAATATGAGGAGGAATTTCCTACAGTAGTTGTACAATTAAGACAGGGCAGGTTTGGTTGTATTGCACTTTGCACACCCGTTGCGAGAAGCAGGATCAAAAAGCTTTTTTCGTTCGCTGAAAAGAAGAAAGAGAAAAGATGATCCCGTTGCTGGAGGGCACGAGGTTTTCTCGGTTTCTCCCTCACTCTCTGCTTTCGCTCAGCTGCTTGCGGTTTTCTCCCCCGTGCCTCAGAGAGCAGTCACCACAAAGTTCCCCGTCTCCACCAGCGCTCCTCCCTAAACAGATTGGAGAACCACTTTACACATCCTCCCAGCTCAGCGGGACCGGCAGCTCCTCCACCACGGCCAGGGTCAGTCCTAATCTGGTGAGGCTTTTACATCACTTGTCGATTGTTCAAAAACATTCAGTTCAACGGGGACAGGGTATGTGTCTTTACACAGTCCCGGCTGAAGACTGATTTGCAGGTTCAAATCCTGGAGGGGCACAGCTATCGCACCCTCCAAAAAGGTACCACATTGTGTCACCAGTATTTTCCAGCTGTCAAGTTGCTTTGATTGAAAATGTGGAATAAATAAATAACAATCAGTGCTTAATAATATTGCTATTAATAAGAATAAAAATGAATAACAATTTGCAATTTAACTGCACTTATAATGTTAGTGAAACCAAATTTCACTGTAGGGTTGATGCCAAGCTGTTTTCTTGTCTGAAGCCTGAAGACATCAAAATGAAACTCTTGACTGAAGATATACTGATGGCTACAACCAGCCCAAAACACAAGCCAGCTTTCTCCCACCTTCCTCTTCCTGTCCCAGTGGACACCCACGGTACATGAAGAACTCATGACGAACGGGGTCTGATCTTATGATTCATGGTTATCTGGGTCACAGGTTGATACATCATTTTAAAAGCCACAGTAACTTTGTGTCTTTACAGTTTTTATGCTCCATAATATAAACTGGATTTAGATGTCTTGTGTTCGAGTGTGCAAAGGACTCATACTGGACTATCTGAATTATGCGTGTTTCAGATTTTTGTTTCTGTACGGACCAGGCTGTGCAAGCTTGAAGTGTCTGGAAAATGTCAAAACATGGCTTCTATCTAGTAGCTGTGTTCGATAAGCACTAGCCAGCAGCCAACAGTGATGAAGTGCAGGGGGATTAAACATGATGCACACTTCTCCACCGTCAAACCTTTCTGCTGCTGACAGTGCAGGAACAAAATGAAATAAGAAAAGTTACAAAAGCCTCATGTTCTTGGATTTAAATGCATCTCCACGTAGATTCCCCTGGTGTCTTTTTTGTTTGTGTTTCACTGTTCCAGAGGATACAAGTGTATTCTAAAACCAAGAACAGTTATGTCTGTACGTAAAGGGTTGCAGGAGTCTGGAACCAGCTACCCAGCCATGATGGAGAAACCGATACTTCCTCAAACACCTACGTACAAAACTCCCTCATTTTCTTGCTTCTTGCTTTCCATCATAAAACTTTCACTGTAAGGTTTATACAATGGGCACAATTCATGAGATCCATCGTGACAAGTGACACAGTTATTCCCTTACAGGAAAGACAGTCCAGAGGTGAAACGAGCCTATGGGTCAGCACCGCACGAGCAGCTGCAGGGCCTTACTTGGAAGATGAGCGTGTAGTGGACGATGAGCTCGCGGGTGAGACGCACCATGTCAGTGCTCATGCCGTAGTCCCTGAACACCGTGGGCACGAACACCAGCGCCAGGTTCTGAGGAGTCATGCGGTTCACATGGCTGTACAGCTGCACCCTGAAACACGCAAGCACACCGCGTCAAGCCCTGCCCGGCGGCGGGCCGGTGAAAAGCAGAACGTTACAGGTCAATCAATCCATTCATCAATCAATCAGTCGATCAAAGTTATTCTTTTATTCTTTTTTCAATGCAGACCGTTCTCTATACAGCTGCACTCTGCAAGGCAAGTGCAGACTAAGTTAAAGCCTTCCTGACATTGAAAAGCAGGACACCACAGATTAATTAATCAATCAATCGATGCTACTCTTGTATATATATATAGGGATTTTCAATACAGAGCATTCTCAAGCATTCTCCAGGCACTTTAAACACATTATGCACTAAAACAACAGCACAGTAGGCAGAAGGCACAACACAACCAGATATAACTTAGGAAGGAAAAAAAGAAATCGATTCAGACTTAAAGGACCCCCCCAGAACACATAGGTTTTAAGACGAGATTTAAGAAACACCAATGGAGACTGCAGTTTTAATGTGGTTGGGAAGAGAGTTCCAAAAATGAGGCGCTGCAGCTGAAAGGGCTCCTGATGTATCTCCTGAAGTACGATATGACGTCCTTGGAACAGTAAGAAGCCTAATAGCAGTCAAACGAAGTGAGTGAATCAGAGGTAATAACTCCTAATAACTAAATAACTAAAAAAAACACAACCTTTGAATTAGAACAGCAGACAGAAACCAAATGTGTTTTAGACATTTGTTAAGTATTTCCACACACACAGTCTGAGCTCTTAACCTATATCACTCAAGCCTTACTGGTACAGGTGTTCAAAGAGGACTTTGAGGATGGCTCTTTGCCCAGCAGACAGGCTGTCCAGCCCTCTCCGATAAGCCGTGAGCCTCTCTGCCTCGACAGGGTGAGCTGTGCAGAAGAAGGGGGGGTGTTAATTTAGGGTTCCCTTGTAGAACAGAAAACCTTGATCTTGCAGTTCAATAATAATAACTAAGCTGAGATCTTTGAAACTTCCAACACCTGTAGTATAAAACGCAGAGTGAGAGAGTGGCCGAAGTGCCTTCCGCAGTACTGATTCACTCAATTTCTCTGCTCTTTTCTGCTCTAAAGCTCAGACACCTCAGATGCCCTCTATTGCACTGAATGAGCTCTAAAGGTCTGAGGATGACTAGCGCCCCCCTGAGACAGGTGCCCATGATAGCAGGTGGATCTGAAAGGTGAAATTATGCATTTGATCGGGAAGCGTGTAAAAGCTTAAGACTCCAGTGGCTCATCCCCAATGATCTCCTTTATCAGATTTGACCTTGCACTTGCAGCACAGTGGAGCAGGGGTAGGATACAGGGGTAGGATACAGGGGTAGGATACAGGGGTAGGGTAGGAGTATCGTAAGCCTGCCACCTCCCCGCTCCTGGGTCCTGGATTTGATTCCAGCCTGGATCACTTTCCATGAGGAGTCTCGGCATTCCCGCTGTGATCACAGGAGGGCAAGGACACGCTGTCCTTTAAAAATGTCCTCCTCTCCCCCACTGAGCCCTGTAATGGGCTGGTATCCCAACCAGGGTGTGACCTGCCTGCTGCCCATCGTCTTTCGGATGAGGCTCTGGGCTGCTCCGATCCTGTATTGGACAGGGCGATTATTGACACTGGACGGACTGATGGATGTATTTGCCCAGCTGGTTCTTTCTGTCCTCAGCCGGCCAGCCGGCCACGGGGACAGGGGGTGGACAGCAGCTGAAAGGGAGTCACAGTGGGGAGCACAGCAGTGGTCCAGAGCTCATTACCTGCTGCCTGGACCCAGAAGGACATGTGAGACTGTGGAATGAGCTCCACCTGCTGACGGAGGCACAGTTTGAGGGCTCCCGCCGCATCCAGGACCCCACTCTCCCCTGGATCGAACTGCACTTTGTTGGGGGCGCTGTTGAGCAACTCCACCAGCTTGCTGATCTTCAGGGCTGTTCCGCAGCGCCGATAAATCCCTTCCACCGTCAGGCCTGAGAAAGAGACAGCGAGAGACACTCCAGCTCTGCACAGGAGTCACCCAGCGTAGGGGGCCAGCGAGAGGCCGAGAACCGTGAAATCACAAGCTCCATTTCCAGGATGCCTTTCAAACTACAGCCCCAACTACAGGACATATTTCAAATAAACAAATGGGAACAGGAAAGGTTTGGCTTCAATTCGGAACGAACTGGCCTTCCTGCTCGAGGCTGCCCCCCTGACCCTGGCTGGCATTAGGAGTCGCCCCCCCCTTGCCCAGGCGCACCCCCAGAGAGCCGCCCGCTGCCTCACCGTGCTGCGTGATGTGGGAGATGCACTTCTCGATGGCAGCAGGCACCTCGCTCCAGAGAGAGCTGGCCGCGGGGTACAGCGGCGCCCCTCGGCCGGCCCCTGCAGCAGTGAGCGCCAGGATCTTCAGCAGCATGTTCCAGCACTGGCAGGGCCGCTGCAGCTCGAACTGCAGGGACAGGCACCTGCAGCAAGGGGGCAGAGCTGAGTCTCACTGCAAGGCAACAGCTGATGCACGTTTCTGTCACCTCAGAGGAAGGCCTGCCAGCTTTTAGGGTATGTGTGTCTAAGTTTTGCATTTAGTTGTGGGATTTTCTTTTTTTTTGCAAAACAGGATTTTTTCAGCTTTTATTTACTGGGGGAGTGGGAGAGCTCATCGGCCACTAAATGTTTCCTGAGTTGTTATGAAAGGGGCTGAGTGTAATTAGTGAGGCTCTCAATAAGGCAACCACTCAGTATAAAGGAAGTAGCAATCATTTAACCTTCTGATCCGCCTGCAAGACAAGCAATTTCAAACTACGACATTCTTTAAAACCATACAACTGGTACTGCTTTGTGTTCAAAAGTAGATGACTGTTTCTTTTAAATTACCATCTGTGAAACAGTCCAATCTAATGGATGAATACCACAGATTGATATGGGGGAGACTGTCAAAATCAAATGCTTCATGAGGAATTGAATCCTAAACTCCTTCCTCTCTGCCTTTCAAAACAAGACACATAACATACTCTCCCACTGTAACACAGTACATACCCAAAGTGTGAAAGTCTTGCGGAGGATATTCTGACAAAAATTAACTCTAAGAGAAAATACAGTACTCCAAAATATCGATCCAAATGCTAATGGTTATCAAACAGCGACTCTGTGTACTAATTGAGATCCAATTATATCAACACAAGTGATCTCAGTGAAAACTGAAACAACATTCACTCTGTGTCCGGAAGGAACTCATTAATATATAGGGAATTGGCTTTTACTCCTATAAATCAGTATGTTTTTGTTCTTTTTAACTTTTCAGCCCAGCAAAACAAACAAGTCATTGTGAACACAGGGATCTTCCCCACACAGAGCCCTGCAGGGGTCTGAGCTTCACTGCTGCTGACCTGTCCACAGTCACAAGTTCAATGGTATTCTCGGCAGCGTCCACATCTGCAGGAAATCAAGAGAAAATCCATCCAAATCAGCTTCAATTAATCCATGAGGGTGACTGCCTGGGCGACTTTAAGACAATAATCAAGTGTCTTATTAAAGAGCTAGTCATGGACTGAATCGAACCCTTCAGTTACAGAACATTTAACCTTTCATTTGCAGCTTTTAAGCAGCTGGACACAATGGAAATTTAAGCAGCTGAGTTGAGATGAAAATGAACAGACACTAAGGTCACAGGATTAAGGAATGGGATGGCTGTTGATTTATTGGCCTCAGGATGAGGTTTAGCGATAGATTAATCCCATCCTGCCATCAATAATGTTTAATCATCTTGGTTTAATCATTCGTTACATTCGGAGTGAAGCCGAGAAGCTTGGCAAAAGAATACCCACGGCACTGAAATGTGCTTTCAGAGGAAAGGAAACGCGTGTGCGTTAGGTCTGAGCAGAATGAACCTCTCTGCTGTGCTGTGTTGCCTGACAGAGACAGGAGGCTGGGATTACAGGGGATAAAACTTCCTTACTGCAGCGGAATGAAGAGGTCAGCAACACCTTCTCTCTCTGGCGCCCCCTGGTGCTGTACAGCAGCAGTTCGTTATTCCTTAGTGCCGCCCATACCTCCCTGTGCTCCAGCCTGCCTCCCTCTCTGAGGGAGACCCGCGTAAAGGCTCGTACCCCATCCAGCTCCGAGCTTGGAACGGGCCACGGTAACAGCACCTGAGACAGGAAGACTGATCAATATTGGTACAGGAGGAGAAGCAGCCCTACTAATGACACATGATATGGCGGACGCATTAAGCCACTTCAATAACTTAACCATCATTCGCACAAGGAAGTTGATAAAAGCTGAGGATTAAAGTTGCCTGCATTTTCTTTTTATGAGATTCGAGATTAGCTGCCTAGCCAGTGGGATAATGTTTCACTGAATTTCTGTTGGTCTTAAACTGAAAACTGGATTGTAGCTAAAAGCTACATAAGGAGGTTGTGCAAGTCACATTCTCTCTATGTTATGTTTCCAGTTCTGGAAACACATCACTGATTCATCTGTTTGTCTTGGGCTCTGGTTAAGCTCACAAATATCCCAAGTGAAAAAACAAGATATTTCAGGAATACTTCATGGCGTCTGTTCAGTCAAGGCCCTAAGAAAAAAACAGCTTGTCTTTCAGATGATTTAGCATGCAGATGCACAGCTTCTGCTCTCGATGAGCCGAGTCACCGAGAGCAGGGGTGCGACTGAACTCTGCGCTGGAGCTGTGTACTACTGGTTTGTAGCGGGACCTGGCAGAGTAGTGTTCCTACCAACAGCATGCTAGTGAGCCAGGAGTGCAGACCCTACGATCACAGGCAGCCCATAAGATTGTACTGCGAGATGCTGCCAGGATGCAAGAGAGGGACCCTCTCGGCGTCCTGCTGACTGTGCCGGGGCTCCTGGCCTTGGCTGCTGTACCTTCATGATGTGCTGCATGTGTGAACTGAGGACCTCCTGAGTGGGAGCGACACACTGCATCCTGTCTCTCAGCGTCAGCATCTCGAACTCGTGGGTCGGCCTGTAGGACAGTGCGGAGTTCAGAGAAACAGAGGCCCACTGATTTACAAATCAGACCAGGGGCCACCCAGTCCTGGACCGGCCGGGGCAGTGTGTTGATAGGTTTTCAGCATGTCTGCGAAAGCAGCAGCCCCTGAAGAGGTTAATCAACGGCTCCAACTGGGCCAACAGTGAGCTGTTTCAGTTGGAGTGAAAACCCCCCAAAACCTGAAGAAGGCTCCACAGCCGAAACGTTGGGTTTCCTGTCTTCTCTTTTCAACATATTACAACAACCTATCACTTGTTCCTCTGCAGCCTACGCATGCCGACGCAGCCACCCACCTGAGCTACTGAAACCCGTAGACACCCGAGCCCTCAAGGATCAGCATTAGAGATCCCGATCTAAACTTCACTAGTACTATTCTAGTGTGTCACACTGAATTATAAACAATGCACCCATCTGTTTATTATTGAAGAACTCCTTTCCCTTTTCTCCTCTGTGTCCTGCGCTGTCAGAGTGCTGTATAAATAGGGCTCTCTGTCATCAGTGTTTATTTGTACTTATGAGTCATCCATTAAATACTGCCTCTAGCCAAAGCTCTTTTGGATTTAAAAACACTAAACCAGTTCCAAGTACAAAATAATTTGTTTTTTTTTTTACTGACCATCACACAGCGTACACAGGTCATATTGGTTATTAAAATCCCAGAGCCAATTTGACTCACATTTCAGTAAACCAGGTTCCTGATGTCATCTCAATTGTATTTTGTTTTTATAGGTGCATTTTTATTTTCATTTGTACTGGAACAGAAAGTCCATCTTTTATTTTCAACAGGAAACAAAACGGAGATGACTGGATGACTCGCCCGTCCAGAATCCAGAAGGCATGGAATAATCCAGAAATCATGGAATCAAACTGGGTCTAGTAAAGAATAAACGGCTACTAAAAAAGGTTCAAAGAGAGGGCCGTTGCCAGACACTGGCCCACAGCGGCCAAGAGCCCCGTGTGTATGACCTCAGTACCAGCACACACTCACCCCGAAGAGCAGTCAAAGATGGAGATGACTTCCTTCAAGTCCAGGACGTCGCAGGCCGCGGAATCGTTCTCCTCGGAAAACAGGAACTGGTCGTCCTCCAGCTTGCCGTGGAGCTCCTCGTCCGAGGGTGCTGGCGGCCGACAGACACAGGGATGAGAACACGTGGGGCCCAGGCACTTCGCTCAGACGGCACACAGACAGCCTGGCACGCCCCACGGCTGCCTCAGACTAGCCCTGCCACACTGCCAGACTCCGGGAGGTCAGCACGTGCGTTCCACTCTCCAGTACTGCAGGTAGTTTGCTCGTACACTAGCATGACTCCGTTCTATTTGGCCTGCAGAACAAGGAGGAACCTCTTTTCCATCTTTAATATTTGATGGAATATACAATGAGGTCACTTCTTCATTTTCTCACGGAGAATCATCTTGATAAAGTGCGGACCACCCCAGGCTAAATATCCGAAACCATCACTGTTGGGGTCTACACAGGAATGTACTCGAAGGCGTTGAGATGATGGTTACCACAGTGTAAAAGGCTTAAGCGTTCACTGTCGGGCAGCATTCAGACGGCACGTTCCCCTTACCTTGTGGCGGGTCAGCGACTGCCGAGCTGCGGTGTTCCTGCTTGGCGGGCTGCTGGTTGCAGGGGGGGGCTTCTGTGGGGAGAGAAAGCCCTTTACCGTGGGGAAATCTGCTCAGACTGCGGGGGCGATCCAGGACCCCCGGAGGGCTGTGCTACCTGTGTACTCGTTGTGTCGGAGGAGCTCTGTCTGCAGGGCCTGCCCGGCACGCTCCGCCAGGGAGATGGGCGAGGGACACTGGGGGTCCCCGGTCTGGCACATGACCCGCGCCCCCGAACACAGCAGAGACAGGGTCTCCGAGACGTCAGGCCCGGTCACCACCTCACACAGCCGCTGAGAGGCACAGAGACGGAGACAACAAACTGAACAACATGCCCGTTTCGCAAACCGCTTCTGCGTTTAACTACACCTTCTAGGCAAGCAGTCAGGTGAGATTATTCAGTGTTAAGCCTCGGAAATGACTGTTAAACTTGGAAAGGGACACGTTGCACAATGTACAAGACAGAAGTCGAGGCTGTGTGGGGCCTGTCGAGAGGCTTGTCCAGAGCCCTGCTGGGCCCTGGCTCTCAGGCGTTACCTTGTTGAGCAGCTCCTGGCTGCAGGCCAGCGGGTGGGCTCGCCGGTACAGCCCCTTGCTGTACTTGGCCAGGACGAAAGCTCGGCGCTCGTTGGGGGTGGCGTCTGCCAGGATCTGCTCGGCGGCAGGGACGTTGTAGCCCCACACCTCGTTGGCGGCTTTATTCCCGTACAGGACAAACAACTGGGAGTGCGAAACCAATCAAGAGTCAGCTCACGGCACCGTCTGGCCAAAGTCCTCTAGACAAATTCCTTGTTTTTGAATTACTAATAATTTATCCAGCAGACATTTTTATCCAGATCGACCTGCATTCTTTTCCATTTATAGTGCTGGGAACTGTACTAAAGAGATTTGAAGCACTTTGCTCTTTGGTATACCAACACTGCCCTACCATGGATATAATATAATACAATATATAATATAAACTCATATATATAATATATAAACCCACAGCCTGCCACTTCCACATCCAGGGCCCTACTTACTACTCCACACTGCTGCCTGCTGTCTCAGGAGGTGGTGCAATCCCTTAGTTTGTCACTGAAGGTCCAAATGCTATTCATGGGGTTTCTGAGATACTGTGGGTAGGATACAGCAGGCATTATGGTATAAAGCCTTCATAAAGGGACACAATGAGATGGCATTTGTGAGCCATTTTCTGCCAACTGTGTGTGCCTGCAATGCACTTTTCATTTGGAACCCATGCTGTCAACAAGCTGCCCCTTAGCCTGTCTAAGTAATGCACTATCTATGCAGCTGGTCCCCTCTGTGCTCTCAAGCTGTTTCATGGCTCGCTGTCTGACCAGTGCCAATCAACATTAACCACCCTTGTGCCATAGAGTCAGTGTGTCCACTTGGTTCACACATTGTGATGGTTGTCCGGACACTGTCTTTTCCCTGTACATTCAAGCTGTTTCCTCATGACTGGAGCCACTCTGGTCTCCTATTAACTCACCTGAATGAGAGGCTCTGTCCACACCTTCCTGTCCATCTTCAGACTGCGAACCTTGGACACGCTGGTCCCCATGGAACGGTGCTGACCTGGACGGAGAGCAGCATTGAGTCAGACGGGCCTCCCCTCTGTCTCTGCAAATGGGTCAGTCCACTGTGCCCTGCCCCATACAGTGTGCCCTGCCCCAGACCCAAGAAACCCTGCCTACCAGCGCAGGCATCACAGATGACGGTCAGCAGGTTGATGGAGGCCCACTCAGGGTTGGCAGAGCCACAGTCCGCACAGACTTTGTTCCAGGGGCTGGCCCAGATGTGCTGCGCCACCTCGCTGCAGGACAGGGCATTGCGGATAACCTGTGTGAGAGAGGCCAGCCACACTGCCTGCTCCCTGGAGGAGTCGGCCTGGAAACTGAGGAAAATAGGGAATGAGGGAAAAAGTATTATACTCATCGAACAGCCATCACTGCACACTGTACACACACATTTCAAATTCTAGGCTGGGTCTTATGCTTTCTGTAGAAATAAGGCTGGAAAATGCTATTTCAATATTAATATGCGACCTTTTTTTCCCCCCACTGTACAACATTGTAGCAATAATTAATAATATTCTATATTTTACATGGCACTTTTAAAGGTGTCTCAAATTCACTTTTTTAAATGATTGCGTCTATCCATTCTAGGGAAGGCATTCTGCTTACACTATATGCCACTCTCCCCAGAGTGCTCTGCTCAGGGGGCACACGTGCTGTCTGAGCTCCGAGCACGCTCTGTGAAAACCCTCAGCCGCACCACTGCTGACAGGCGGAGATTCTGAGCGCACGCCAGGGCTGCCTCACAGATCTTGGGTCCTGGGTTCGACTGCGGTCTGGTCTAGGGTGCGCACTCTGCGTGGAGCTTGTATGCTGTCCCCTTCACTTGAGACTTAGCGGACAGGAAGCAGTTTCGTCTCGGCGTGTTCTGGGAGGTGGAGGAAACGGGCAGGTCGCTTCTCCGCTCGCTCACCTGAACGTCTTGTAAGGGGTGATGAGGCTGAAGTTGCGCCGGCCCGTCTGCTTCACCTGCGCCACGTCCATGGAGATGTAGAACATGCCCACGCCGTTGGCGAAGTCCTGCCGGGCACAGGGAGGAGGAGGAGGAGGGGGGAGCGTCACAACACTGAGCACAGCCAGCGTCTCACACCCCGACCCTCAGGGGGACAAATCAGGGACAGGGCAGGTCTGGCCCCGGGGGTGGCCTCAGACCCCGCTGTAAACGGATTCATCAGTACAGGCTTTTTGAGTCCTGAATCTGAAGCTGAAATGTATTGCTTCACACTAATGGAACTGGTATTATTAGCACGAGGAGCCTGTTATAACAAAGGGCGGATGGATCCACAAACAATTCTTGTCAAATGTCCTTTGAGTCTTGAACTGAGAATGATATTGCAGAGCTCGCATCCGACTGACTCTATTGCGAGGGTGAAGAAAAGCAGGTTGTAATTCCCCCCTACGACCACTAGGTGGCTCCTTGTACCACACTGCATTGAGACAAGCTAAGCTAAAGTCGGACCCCTGCTGCTTCTCTGCTCCTGTCTCTCGCCCTCTGCCCCTCCTTACCTCTTTGCTGTGGTAGATCCACAGCTCGTGCCCAAAGACCGCTCCGTACACCTTGGCCCGGGGGTCTTTCATCACGAGGGTGCTGCACTGCTGTGGGGCTTCCTGGGGTTTCTGGCCCCGAGAGGCATGTAGGGATCTCACCCACCCGTCTCTCACCGCTTGGGGGGGTCAGGGGGCAAAAGCACAGCACTGATTAAGCAGGCATGGGCATCTGCGCACACATCCGTACAATAGGATCGCACTGTGCAATGAGCAACTGGGTGACAAGGAAGACAGTTCCCAGCCCAAGATGGCTGCTTGTTAATCCATTTTTGCCAGGAGAGTAATTTCCCAGACGTTTCCTGTCCCAGCACCTTCAGCCGGAGTCTCCGGCTCTGGTCCCAGAGAGCCCCAGTCCAGTACATTGTATACTGTACTGCAGCTCACCCTAAACAGCCTGTTAGTTAAAGATTAGGAACTCCGGAAAGTTATTGATCAGCTAAACGATCAGTGACTCAGTTCAGCGAGCTCTGGCTTTCTGTTCAGAAGACTGCTAATTAACCGAATTTCTAAAATCAACAGCAGCGGATCCTAATGATATTGTTCCAAGCCTTTAGAAAGTGATGATTTCACAGTGACATATAAAACCTGCTGGATTGGGCTCCACCAGGACAGAGGCTGGTGCTCTAAACCATTTTGAAATGATCACAGATTCACTTCCCAGACATTAACTTTTGATAGAAAGACAGGGCAGACACAGGGCTGCTTCTCCGATGCCTTCAAGCACCGATTTCTGAACATTTAGTAGACTTATTTCCATTGAATGCACAAAGCTTGTGACTGTTCAATGGACACAACTTAAACCAAACCACTGAAGAATACAGTTAATTGCTTGTTTTTCTATTTATCTTACCCTCGTTGTTGGCCATGAACTCAAAGTGCTTCTTGGGGGTGGAAATTGAGAAGCGGCCTTTCTCCAGTGACTGGACATTTGTAATGCACGACACGTGGAGCACAACCTCTGTGAACTTGTCCTGGAAAACAGGAACACTTGTCCGCTTTAAAAAACTGGCAAAGCGAAACCGGTGTCTGTTCACGGAGAGAACCTGCGAGTGCGCAAGGCCCTGGCTGTACTCACCGTGCGTTTCTTCCACAGGGAAAGCAGTTTTCCATCCAGAGTAACCCACAGCACACGATGTCTGTAACAGCAAGGAGCAGAGGGTGAACGGTCTCGTCCGTGCAGGGCAGGGGTCTCCTGGAGAGCCCCAGCCCAGTCAGTCCACTCAGTCACCTGTTTTTAACGACTGGAAACACTTGTGAGCTACTGATGCATCAAGCAAGCAATCTGATCAATGAAGAGAGCTCTTGTCCTTGTGTGATTCTTGCCCTTAGATTTACATTTACTTACATTTTAGTCCTCTAAAATTAACGACTAACAGATTTTCAGAAATGACCATTCACAGTGGGATAGCCCCAGGTCTTTAGAAACTGGTGATCTACAGATCCTGCTGGACTGGGGCTCTCCAGGTCCAGGGTTCGAGATCCCTGATGTAGAACGTCCTCAGTCTGCCACTGAATCCGGGGATGGACACTACCATATCTCCTTACCATTGCACAGCAAATATTTGAGTGTTTTTGAATTGAGGAGTAAGATTTAGCAGGGAAGCACTGTGGTTAGCATTGCTGATGCCCCGAGTTCAAATTCCAGACCTGGGGTGCCATCTATGCGGAGTTTGTATATTCACGCTGTGTTCCTGTGGGTTTCCTCCAGGTTCCGGTTTCCTCCCACAGTCCTAAGACTTACTGGGAGATTAACTGGCCTCTGGATGAACTGGCCTCGCTGTGTGTGTGTGTGTGCGTGTTTGTCTGTGTTTCCGCCCTGTGATGCACTGGCCTGTCCAGGGGGTACCCCTCCTTTTCCCTGTTGCTTGCCTGGTTCCCCTGCAATTCTGAACTGGAAGAAGTGGTTAGAAAATGGATGCATGGTTAGGAGCCTCTGTTCAAGCAATGCAGGTGTCAGAGTGGTCCTGGTCCGGCCAGCTCAGTAACGCGGTTCAGGAGGCATTGCCAGTAGCAGGGTATGGTACCTCCTTCCCTGCCAGACCTCCAGCCAACTGGAGCGCGACACCACGCTGTCTCTGACTGGTGCCTCCTCAGCCTGCGCGCTCGCCTGCCACTCCACCCCCGTCTGCTTCCGCCGGCTCACTCGGATCGTGGCCACGCTGCAGGGAAAAGAGGACAGAGCCCGGGCCCGACTGTGAGGCGCGCGTGAGCCCTCCGCCACAGCACCGACATCATGGACAACAACAAGTCCGTGACCCCTGACCCCTGACCCCTGACCCCTGACCCCTGACCATGCCTCCTGGGAGCTAAGCACACAGAATGACTAATCTTCTGGCCTCCTCCTCTCCCCAGACAAGAGAGGTGTTAATCCACTAACCCCACCTCCATTAGCGAATCCAAGACCAGGTGAAGCCAGATTACACTGCATTACACTGCTTTTACCATGTCTATCCTGATACGGTTTCCTGTGCAGAAATGAGCTCTCTGCGTTTTAAACTCCTCAACACAGTTTCTTCAAACATTTCTTACTGTATATGCAAAATGTCCACTGGTCTCTCTTTGAGCGCTGCTCTCTGAGAGACTGTGCTTCACCACTGGGCGTCCCTGACTCCTTGACTGCTTTCTTCTGATATGGAAGAATAACTAATAACTAACAACTGTTTAATTAAAAATGGCATATAAAATAGAAATTGTTTAATCAAATATTAAAAAACGAACAATGAAATATAGGAGTTCTTACCGAGGTGCCTTGCATTTCTGCTGCCTGTTCTGCACGGCAGAGGGTGGGTCACTGCAGGCAGGGGACCCCTCCACCCAGGAGATCAAACCCTGATCACTCTGCACTGCAGCGTCTGAACTGAAAGATGGGGAAGGAGGAGCAGGGGGGTGGATATGCAGATCAGGCCACGGACAGCAGGTGTCGGATTTCCCCAAAACACACGGCAGATTAATAACAAACGCAGGCAACGCTCTCTAACTGACAAACAACGCAAAGAATTTGCCATTACAGGAAACCATATCTGGGAATAAAACATTTAAAAATGACCAAATACCTGCAGGGCACACTGTTCTAGGTTGTGGAAAGGGGGGTATGGATTTTCACACTTAGTAGTTCTATGGGGAGTCAATCAATGTACAGGAAGGTGGGTCAATGCATAGGAGGATGGGTTTTAAACATGACTGAAACAATCTGTTGACACAACATCCTGCAGTGAAGATCACCTGCAAACTTGAACAAACTGTGAAACCTTAAACTGGTAGTGCAGGTTTTCATGTGGGCCTTCTCTAATGCTAAATACCAAAACAAGTGACTCCTGGTAGTCTATGGATCTAAAGCATCTCCTGTTCAGGCACATTGGAGTAATATCAGGACATTGGTTTAACAGCTTTACACCAACAACATTTAAAAAAGGATGTTTCTCATTCTTGCTATAGAAAAGCTATTAGCATCTTAAATTCATTGTCACATGTAAGAATATAATCCTCTTTTTACTGAACTATTTCTCTGTGGTGCACCATTGTAAAATAATTTACAGTGGAAAATGATAGAGCAAACAATTAGCAGGGAAGAAGCTGAGTTCAATAGTCGGTGACAAGCACAGAACCTGACTGGAACAGCCAATGAGAAGCACAGAACCTGAACAGAATAGCCAATGACGAGCACAGAATCTGAATGGAATAGCCAATTAGAAGCTGAGAAGAATGTAGAGAATGGTGGTAGAAGATCTGTAGGAAATGCTACAAAAAAGCAACAACCAATCTGTGCCGGTTCTGTTACCTATTTCTCTCAGCCACCAGACACTCACCTTTGCAAGCTTGGATATTGAATATTCTCATCTTTCTCCTGTCTCATCTGCGCCACGCTGGCTCCCCTGTCGCGAGTTTGTGCAGACCCTTCATCGCTGGGCGATGATAAAAAGTTCCAGTTTGCGTTGAGCTCAAGTCCTTCCAATTCCTCTATCCCTTGTCTGGCTGGAGCCTCCAGTGTCTGGGAGTCCTGGGCGCAGGGGGAGTCAGGCATGGGCGGAGACCCCTTGTCACTTGTAGAGCCAGACCTGGGGCTCTCAGGTGAATGTGCATCTGAGTAGGTCCTGTGTTTGAACTGCGATTCCTTAGAACTGACAGGACAAAGTGCTGGGAGGGCAGGCCAGACAAACACTCCCTGAGCGCTGTGCTGTCTTTGAGATTTCATGGGAAAGCCATTATTGGACTCATCAGGAGCTTCAGTGAAGACATGGCTCGTCTTTAGCTCAGGTTTGTGGGATACATTAAGGAATAATTTGGAATCATTGTTTTCTTCTTGCCCCAAAGAATTCCCCTTCCTTAAGTTTCCTAAAACCACAGATGAATATAAAAATAAAAATATCAGGTTACTAGGAACAAACAGACCTATCAACGAGCAAGGTACAGTAGCAATCGTACATTGTCCATGTGGTATATTTCCTATCTAGAATGTCAAATGTCATAATGTCATATTGTTAATGTTTCATAGCAGGGCTGAACCACAGACCAGCTGAGGAGCAATTTTGTGGAACAAATACTCAAATGCTGAACTGATACTTTGTCAAAGCCTTCCTTGTCTGGCCGAAAAGGAAAGAGGTGTCTCAGTCAACTGCCTTGAAGACATTGCAACACAGACATGAATAAAAGTTGCTCGTCTTGTCTAACTAGCTAAAATCAGAAGTTCTTCCACACTTTCCAAGGCCAACCAGGGAAGCAGGAAGGAGTTACAACTGTTGTTTCTGGGCACTGAAATCAATAAATAAAAATAATCATAAATTAAAATTAGGTTCAATTTCAGACATTCAGACCAGACATTCCTCCTGGTATGATTACTAAGAGAACAGAAGTTACTGAAAGCTACAGTACCCATGTTCATAAAAGCAGGGGTGTTTTTACACCAGTATTACAGTTGAGTTTCTCTATGTTTACGCAGTCTGCTCTCCCAGGTTTTCCAATTTAATGTAATTGGTGGAGCTGTTTGTCAGCTGTTAATCTTGCTTAACCATCTATTGTCAGTGATTAAATATCAATCACAAAAATACAGAGCACATGCCCCCAGCTATTTATTTTTAAGGGGGACATTGGTTCATTCATAAAAGTATGCAAAACACAAAGAGTTGTGGGAGTCTGGAATCAGGTACTCGTACGAATGTCAGAAAGCACTGCCATGCACCTGGGCTCAAATCACCTAAGAAAAAGTACATAAGGCAGACAGGCCAAATGACCCCTGTCATTTTCAAACAATCTTATGCCTGTCTACTCTTTCCTGGTTAGGTGTCTTCTCCTTTGAAAAGTGGACTTTCAATCCAAAATAATTGTTTTGGCCCACTTCAGCTCTCCTCAGCGCAGGAGGGGCAACTCTTTTGACATCCTCCAGGCTCCTTCACCATCCGGGCATCCTCCGTCATCTCACCTGTCCTCGGGGGCTGCCGCTCACTCTCTGGCTCAGCCTGCGAATTTGCTGTCTCAGAATCCAGTATGTTATTTGATGACATCCTGCAAGAGACACGAACCCGTAAGGATTAGACCGATACTCTAACGACGTCTCAACAACACTGGGAGCTACAGCAGGAAGCTTCTCTACAGTACGTTTCCCAGGTATTGGTGAAGAAGTGACATTTGAATATACTTTATGTCAGTTTAATGTGTCAAAAATGGCACTTTTAAACAGGCCACGCTTCATTTGTATTCAGAACAAGATATAACTGTAACTGTTCAGGTAGGGAGCTGCGTCAGCATGCGTAGGCTGCAAAGGAACAATATACTATAATAGGTTTATTCCATGCTGAAAAAAAGAAGAAAGAGAACACAACGTTTCGGCCGTGGAGCCTTCTTCAGGAGCCTTCTTCTCCACCTGAAGAAGGCTCCACGGCCGAAACGTTGTGTTCTCTTTCTTCTTTTTTTCAGCATGGAATAAACCTATTACTTGTTCCATAACTGTAACTGTTCCTTTTTTTCTGTTGGAAATGGCTCCGTCTCTTCTCAGCCCCCATCCCGAAGTTGAAGCTGTCTAGCCTGACAGGCGAATCCACTCTTCGGCGATCGAACGTCTCACTCACCTCCTGGGAACAGGGGGAGGGGCTGGTGTGCTTTCCACGGACCAAGTGTATCTGGCCCGAGGTTTGGGAACCGGGGGGGTCACCTTACTGTCAACGGGGGCTGACATCCTGGCCAGATCCCGACTGCGACTGGAAGAGCAAGAGAAGGACAGTCCGGACAGGCAGCGAGGAGAAATCGCGTTTCGGCTGCCAGCGGGGCAGGAAAGGCAGGGGAGTTCCTGGCCGTGTCACTGGATGAAACAAGACCCGCCCCTCCGCACGGCCTTCCCCCAGGCAGGTCCAGCTGTCAGCCTGTGACAGGACCTAACAGCCAGCAGCTCTGCAACACACAACTGGCTACACGCTGAAGCTCAGCAACCCACACGCTGCAGCGAGCAAACACTAAGAGCAACAAGCCACTGGAGCCAGTACCCGGAGGGGAGACACCTGGGAAATCTGAGGTTGCTGCTGGAAGAGGTGTTACTGGAACCAGCAGGGGGCGCTCACCCTGCGGTCTGTGTGGTTCCTAAAGCCCCAGTATACTGACGGGGACACTCTACTGTAAAAAGACAGTGATGAGACATAAAACTGAGCTCTTGACTCTGTGGTCATTAAAAAAAAGCGTAGGGTTGTTAGCCCAGTGTCCTGGCCAGACTCCTCCCCTGGCCCTTAAAAATCATGGCCTCCTAATAATCCCCATCCCTGAACTGGCTTCATCACTGCTCTCCTCGGCACTGAGAGCTGGTGTGTGGGGAAAGGACTGGTTTACTCTGGCTGCCGTCGCATCATCCTGGTGGGGCTGCACAGTGTGTCCAGAAAAGCACTATACAAGTGTAAGGAATTATTTTTAGGATTTCATTTACACCAACATGTAAGGGGGAAAAACACATTTTGAGGCACTTAGGAATATGACTGGAGAAGAAAAAGAGTCTGACTAGATTGGTACTTTCCAGGACCTGGACTGAGTCTCTTGCCATAATATAACTGACTTACTTTCATGCTCTGCAGCTCAATGTATATTTACTTATGAAAAAAAGAAGTTACATTAGTTAACCGCATGGTGCCTATTTTAATCCATTTTTACATAATGCTTGCTCACTTCAGTCATAAATGCCATCTGTAGATAAAAGCCTTCCAAAATAGTCCTGCCTATATCATTGGCATAACAGTGCACAGGATGGCAAAGAGTTAACAGTATTTTTTGTTGATGTTTTCTAGGGGGTTCAGGCTGAGGTTTGTTATCGGAGTATAAAGATTCAAGCGTTTTGCGCTGTCACTGCACAGTCCTTATCAGGTATTTGGTTGCAAAACAACACAGATCTGTGCCAATGCATTTCCCCAAACTTATTTTGCTGCCTGTGTGTCTATTTTTCCGGTATGTATTTTCATGTAAATGTATCAGATTGGTGCATTGGTGGGGTTTCAGGGGTTCAGTATTCTTGGGGTTCCAAAAATTAAAGCAACTATACCATCAAGCCACACACGGGTCACACGATCCATGCCGATAAAAAGTGCCTATCTCAATGCCTAGTCATCGTAATGCTTGAGTCTGACTTGCGGTTTTCAAAGTAAGATACGACAGCTTAAATAAGTAAGAGGGAACAAACATACTGAGCTGAATATTTCCCTAGAAAAGCATTTGCTTTCATTAACTGGGTCTATCAAAACAACTGAGGTAAATGCAGGAGGGTATTAAAATATCAAACTCAACGCGCGTAAACGGTGGGTACTTACAAACCCCAACACTTTAATTTCCAAACACGCGGTTAATTTCCAGACTCCACGCACGACTTTCTCCGCTCGGGCTTCAAACTGACAAATGCCCCTTTCCCCGCTTTCCAGTCCAACACAGGTGCAGCTAGATCTACCGGAGATCCTCTGGGACGCTCGTCCGTCTCAGGAAGGACGACAGGAGCAGCCGTCAGACGCTCTCGGGTCCTAACGTGGGGAAGGATGAGGCGAGGGAGGGAGCCATGCCTACCTTCTCGCGGCTCCTGGGCTTCGGGGTTCTGTCCTGCGCTGCGAAGTCACCCCGTTTCCGTGACTGTAGTGGGTCTGGGCTCGCGGCTGGTCGCGTCACCGGCTGATTCACCCGTTCGACCGGTTTCGGCGACTCGGCAGCGATGCACGCCCCTGACGTGAACAAAAAAAAAAACTATCAATAAACAAACAGGTATCTTCTGCCCGAGAAAATCTAATTGTTTCCTGGATATTCTCATGATTCATAGGCGTTTAGGTGTCAAAATGAAACGGACAGCCCCAGTTCCGTACTGTAGATTACGATAGTAATGTAGTTCAGGTGGGGAGCTGCGTCAGCATGCGTAGGCTGCAAAGGGACACGTTAATAGGTTTATTCCATGCTGAAAAGAGAAGAGAGGAAACACAACGTTTCGTCTGTGAAGCCTTCTTCGTGTGTGTTGAAGAAGGCTTCACACCCGAAACGTTGTGTTTTCTCTCTTCTTTTTTTCAGCATGGAATAAACCTATACTTACGATAGTAATGAACACTGTAAGGGCTGGTTTCATTACGACACCTCGGTGACGGTGTTAATCTAAATAGCATGACAAGGCAGACCAAGATGACAGCTTACCGCTGTCTGTGAAAACAAGAGTGTTTGCACACAGACTACGTGGAAAATTCTACGGTACTGAAAAAAACAACATAGATTATATATACTGTAAAACATTTATGTGAGCATATTTTTATAAATATAAAAATACGGTACGTGGTAGATTTGTGAACTATTTTTTTTTACTTTGAAGAAAGAACGGTAGCGATGATAAAATATTCGACCTAAACGTGGCATAAACGCCTTTTACAGTTATTTTACCCCTGGCGTTTACCAGTCATGGCCTCCCCATGATCCCCATCTCTGAACTGGTTTCATCCCTCTGCTCTCCTCCCCACTGAGAGCTGGTGTGTGGGCAGAGGACTGGTGCATCATCCAGGTGGGGCTGCACACTGGTGGTGGAGGGGAGTCCTTTGAGTGGAGTGCCCAGAAAGCGCTATATACTGTAAGTGTAAAGAATTATTATTATTATTGTTCTCAGTATTGAAGACTAAAAAGGTTCAGTTCAAAAGTCAGAATGTCAGTTTAGGTAAATTACTTCAGCCTAGAAATATATGTGGGTATTCTTTTCTGGACTGATTCCAGAGTAACAAAATATTTTCCGATGCAGTGGCCATAATTCCCCAAACTATTGGGGATTCTTGCTTTGCGCCGTAATGCCCAACATATTCTCTCAATCACTCAGCTGTGACGGACCGCACGGGGGCAGGCGCTTCCAGTCATGTGACAGTGGAGGCCGGTCAGCTGACGAGGGAGGGGGTGGGCGTGGCATGGACTGAGGCTGGCAGGGAGCGACTTGACTTCCGCTTGGTGAGATCGGAATTTTCCAACCTTTAATGTTATATAACCCAAACTGTAAGATCGCCGCGGTTTGATTTCCCTGCTCGCAGATGAGGAGTGAATGGGTTTAGTGTAGCGTGTAACACCTGAATCAGGTAGACAGGACGTACTGATTTAAGGCTTAGGTTCAGGGACACCCGCTGCCTGATGTTTTTTAGCAGGCATGAACCACCCGATAGCTCTTGGAATTTCAAACTGATATTTACCCTGCGCGCAGAGCGGCGAGGGTGATTTGTGTATAAAACGGTGTCATCTGTTACAGTTAAAGACGGTTTTGTCGACTAGGAAATATAATGCATTCGTAGCTTCGGCTTAGTCCTTGCTCATTCTTTAATACGGAACCGACCCTTCGCGGTGGCTGTCCGCGACAGATGCTTTATTTCACTCAGATGTAATGTCAACACGCAGAACTCCCTCTTCTGAGCGGCCGCTAAATGTTCATCTGCTCACCCCCAGGTGAAGGATACAAGCAGCGTTCTTCTCGTTATGACACGGTTCAGTGAAAAGTATTTTGATGAACAAGATCTCCCATGTATCTCTCCTTGAATCTCTCCTGCATGTCTTTCAATTTCTCACCCGATTCCGCGACTTTGAAACTTTTTTTTTGGGTGTGTGAAAACTGGCGATAAATGATTTTACAGCAGGGTGGTTAAATGACTTGCGCAACTGATCTAAGGGATGTTGTTTTAAAGTGCGGTAGGCAAAATTAATTTCAGGGAGTGAATCCGGTAGTGCAGGTAGAATCATGTCATTCTTAACGTTGTTTTCCGCAGGAAATTTGCCTGACGTGTTTTCCTTCAAGGTGTGCTTCGTGACTACGATTCAGAAATGACTATATCTCCGAATTTACAAAAAAGAGACCGGGGAAAATATAGAGCGTAATAAACAGTACATTTCAATTTACGCTTGTGTAGATATTAACGATGGAAAAAGTTCTAAATCATTTTACAATAAAAAGAGTACAATAAAAAACACATAGAATTCAAGAATCACCGCTAACAACAATAACATTTGATCAGTTCAAATTGTGCATGCAGATGGAAAGACAAAAATGTCTTGAGATTAGCTTAAAAATAGCAATGGTGTGAGAAAGCAGACACATTTTGAGCAGGAGTTTCCTGTGATCTGGGTATAGACAGAGAGGGCTTAGGAGACAGACCAGAGCCCAGCTGCTGCAGAGTTCTGAGCACAGACTGAGGACGAGTAGAATTAACATGGGTTCCTGGAACAGCGGAATCTAATCCTTTATCCTCTTGTTTTAAATGCAGGTTCTTATTGCAGTTTGTTTATTTGTCTGCAGTCTGTTTTAAATGCAGTTTGTTTTATTGGCTGAATATTAATTCCAAACATGCACTGAGGGCCTTCTGCTTTCCTACAATATCATTCACAGTTATTGTTATAACCTTGTCCAGCAGCTTTTGATTACTGTTCAAAGGGGCAGTGTTCCAGTGTGTTTCGAGTACTGTGCACATGGCTAGTTTGCTTGTTCCAGACACCCACAACCCTCTGTGTAAAGAGGTTCCTCCTGTTCGCAGTCCTCAGAGCCTCGGTGTTGTGGCTTGTGACGGGTGTGGCACTCATGGACCAGAAGATTCCCTACGATGACTATCAGCTCCCGGTGGTCTTCCTGCCTTCATATGAAAACCCCCCAGCATGGATACCCCCACAGGAGGTATTTTCAGGGACTTGATGTCCCACAGCCCCTGCAGTGTCTAGCAGTCTGTCTTTTACACATCAGACTTTCTTTAGCTTGCTTTTGGTTAAGGTGTTAAGGGTTTGAGGTTGAAAATGGTTGTGATTAAACATTTGCCTTCAGGTGGTCTTCCAGAATTTTGACTTGTGTTCTAGTTTTACATGGGTGTGTCTGAAACCTGCCATGAGAATATTTGAAGCACAGGGACAGCAATTATACAGCTATTCACACCCTTGTGCATCTCAGCTGAATATCACAGACTTTCTCTTTCATTATTACCAGTTGTTCTACTTTTTATTCAAGTTTGCATTCGGCTTGACACACTCGTTTTCAGCTAGTAGACCCGCTTAACAAGATATACAATATTATAAAAAATACAAATGACAGTAAATTGATTCCGTTTCTTCCGTTGGGGGGTTGGCCGGCCCGGTCTCGGAGAGCTGAGGTCAATCGTGGGAACTCGGAAGACCCTGTGGCTTTCCAGGCCCGCAGGTGCAAATTCCTGATTTAATTGATCCAATTAACTGGCCGGGCGACGTGACCCTCAGAAGCCGGTGCTGTCAGGTCAGGTCAGGTCAGGGTGAGCTCTGGGGGGCCAGCCCTGCTCCAGTGAAGCTGTGTGGTCCTGCTCTGTGTGCCGGCCCAGTGCCTACAGAACCCTCCTGCCATCCCCTCCCCAGCGGATCCACCACCACGACTACAACAACGAGCTGTCGCAGTTTCTGCCGCGGACCATCGTCCTGAAGAAGCCTCCGGGGGCGCAGCTGGGCTTCAACATCCGCGGGGGGAAAGCCTCCCAGCTGGGCATCTTCATCTCCAAGGTGGGCCCCCGGCTCTGCGCTGTTGGGATGGCAGCCCCGTCGTAGCTTGACAGACCCCTCTCCCCCTCGGTGCTGACGGGCCGGTCCCTTCTCTCTGTGCGCCGGCAGGTGGTGCCCGACTCGGATGCCCACAGGGCGGGGCTGCAGGAGGGGGACCAGGTGCTGTGTGTGAACGACGTCGACTTTCAGGACATCGAGCACTCGAGGGTGAGCCTGCCAGCGCGGCCCCTGTGCTCTTCCTGACTGGGGCTCGTGCTCCGCTCAGAGCCCTTAAGACCTTCTCACGGGAGGAGCTTCGGGTCCCAGTGAACACCGGCCACCGGAGTGGCTCAGTATCCGCGCTGCCGGGGTGTATGAGCTCGTGGTGCTCGAGTCTGCGTGCTGTGGAAGGTGCACTGCACCTCCAGCTTTGTGCTGGCTGATCGCCCTCTTGCGCAGTGATTTTTTCTTGCGCTTCGCACATAATGTCATCACTGTAACCCAGATGCCCCTGGGCGTCTGCTCAGCAATAAGAATCATCCTGCCAGTACTACGGGTAATGGCTGCAGTTTGGCTCGTGCCGCTGTTATGGGTCTGGGCTGGCAGGAGGAGTGAAGCCCTGTGCTGTGTTAACGCTTTCAGTGTATCAGTGTTCAGGATTATGGTTTTTCATACTTCTTCTGCCCTTTTTTTCCCCTTGCCTCCCCCAGGCTGTGGAGATTCTGAAAACTGCCAGAGAGATCCTGATGAGGGTGCGCTTCTTCCCCTACAGTGAGTACGGCTCTCGCGCCCCTCTCCCAGTAGTAGCCTGTCAGTGGCTTTGCTTGCTTTCGTTTCTGTTTATCACCAGTGCACGCTGAATTTGAAACCTTTTCACTTTCGCAACAAAATTGGGCGAAAAAGAGCCCTCCAGCCTCACCAGCCTGAATGTTCAGTGCTTCACGGCCTCTGCTGCTGGCTGATGAACAGATCTTCAAGCGTGTTTCCTGCAGGTGGGCAGAACGGAATGGTTTGCATGCGTCGTTATCGAGCCCCAGCGGAATGACACGAGCCCGGCCTGCAGTGAGAGGGGGACGCGGAGCCGGTTTTTCTCCCGTCCTCCAGACACGCAGAGGGGGAAGACCTTCAGGCTTCCCCCAGACAGCCGATGGCGAGGCCTTGCCGTGGTTCCCAGCCCTGTTGGCGTTGGTGTGTGTGAGCTTGACCTTCTGGCTGGAGGGGGTGTTCACATCCTTTGCCACCCCTGGGGAGGGAAGATGAATGCTCCAGTTCTGCACATCCTCGAGCTCTTGTTAGGGGGGAATAATTAAAGGCAGGATGGTTCTCGTGCAATCGTGTAATCCTTAAATTGATGATTTAGCATGGTTTTGGACTAGTTCATTTTAGGAGAACTAAAGGCCCACTGCACAAAGTCCAGCTCGAAATGATCATCTTTACTACTAATCTTTTTCTGTGCAGTACCTAATCTTCTGTGGAATGAGTATAATCACACGAACTATGCAAAACAAGGAGAGCTTTTGAATGCATTCCTAGGTATCCTATCTATTTGGAAGAGTGAATATCTTTCTAGCCTATGCAGTGCCTTCACGGCTCCTGTCCCGCGTTGAGGGTTTTAATTATTAGGGCCAGAGCTTAATAAGATACTGATATTAACTTGTTTTCCCCTTACTCTCGTTTTCTGCTCAGATTACCAGCGACAGAGGGAGAGGACTGTGCACTAGGTGGCAGCAGTGCACTGCACCTGTTGGACACACTGGAGCATCTGGAGGAAAGGAAGTGTGTCAGTTTTGCTGGTTCTTCCCTCTGTTTCAGCACAGGGGTCAGCACACCTGGCGCAGGGCCCCCTGGGTAGCTAACCGGTCTCTTTAAATGGTTTCAGAGTCACTGAGGCAACACCAGTCTTTTATTATTAATAACATAATCAGATGCTTTTATCCCAAGTATACTAACTCGTACAGCCGGTTTTTAACTGGAGCAATTTGAGTGCATTGCCTTGCTCAAAGGTACAACAGTAGTATCCTGCCTAGGATTTGAACCTCCCCCCAGAACAGGCCTGGTGCTTTAAACAGTCTGCCACACTCTTGACTAGAGCTGTGACTCTGAAGTCAGTAGGGGCACTAAGAAAATGTACATATTATTACTGTACTGGCAAAGAATGGAGATTGTAGAGTGTTCTCAGGTCAGTCTGAGACTGAAGTTGTACTATGATGATAGGAAATCCAGAAAAGTCTTTATTAAACATGTTATTCCAGGTTTAATTTGAAATGGCTTTGTCTGTCATTTGGCAAGATGAATGTCTACAACAGATGTGAAGGTATAGGAATATGGGAAGAGTTAGGGGTGTGTTTGTGATCGGGAGAGAGAGGCAGAGTAAGACCTCTTAATGAGATGGATTGGAATACCATTTTTTTCCTTCAAGCAAACTCCCCATGTCTCCATCTGTATATAATTTTTATCTTTTAAAAGATTTACATATTTAAAAAAGGGTGCGTATAAAGTCATAGAGGTCTGTTGTTTCATCCAGTACAGCACGCTGGTCAGCCTGTTCTTGGGCTTGTGGTCTACACTGCTGGGGCGGATTGGGGCCTGCACAAGCAGGAAAGTGTCCCATTTCAGCTTCCTGTTGAACTGCCTTGGCAAGTCAGATATCTGCATATCATTCCCGAACATGCCACCTCACTTTTCCAGAAATGCACAACTGCTCTAATCATAGCATTCAGTTGTGAAAAATCTCCATGTTTTCACTGTCTGCAGATAAACTTGTCGCTGACAGATCGAGATCATGATCAGTTAAAGTTAAACCATTTAAAAAAATAAAATAAAACCATCTTATTAACAAAAATTGTATATACAGGCTAACGCATCTTTCTAGGTCACACGTAGGTTATTTTTGACATAAAATGAGGCCCTGTGTTTTTGGAGTAGTTGTTCTAGTGCCCATTACACATCATGTCAGAAGTGAAACCAGTTTTAAGCACAGAACATGCCAATGCGTTGACACATCTTCAAAATCTCCCAGCTGATAGGATCAGCTGTAGATATGAAAACTGAGCAGAATATTAAACCTGGTTAATCTTGTCCGATTTCTTTTTCATGTTTAACTCCGTGTTACTAACCAGCATTTCCTGCGTGTTTCTTCTCCTACTGAGTTCAGATGTGTTTTGAAGTTTTGTCTCTGGCCTACAGGCTCTACCAGGTTTTAAGGTGTGTTAGGTAGTGGCTTTCTCAGTTGTGAAACGTCTCTTTAACAAAAACTGCTTACAAGTATTAACACCTACACCCATAAGGACCTTTAAGAAAGCAGTTATGGGCAAGCAGTTTGCATCACTCTATCACCGTGGATAAATCCAGAGAGCTGCAAATCCTTTGGCCTTCTGGTTCCCTGGACAAAAGACCCCCCCAATGTCTTGTGACATGTCGTTTCCAGAAATTACCTGTGGCAAATTAATATTTTTCATTGCACTAGAAGAACCACCAAAAATATTTTCTCTCTACTTTTTCCACTATTTCAGTTTTATTACTCTATGAATACGTTCCACTGTTCCGAGACAATAAACCAGGCGCATTCCAGAAGAAATAAACGGAAATATTTATTTAATGGATTCTCATAACTAGCGGAAAAAAACAACCCACTGTTCCGCTACCTCAATTATAGAAAACACTCTCTCTTAAATTAAATATGACCTAAACGTTCTTCTCTTTGAAAATAAAGATACAATAACAAAAAGAAAAGGCTAGGCACTTCAGAAAGGAGAGGCACCTTGGCGCTTGTGTGATTTGGTCTGAAAGTCGCCGGGCTGCATTCCTTCCAGCGGAGAGTTTCGGTGAAGGACAGGGCTGCAAGGCAGGGGCAGCGCTCTGTAACCAGACACCTGCACCTCACCGAGGGTATAGGATAGCATTGCACAAGCAGGCCCAGAGGCCCAGCAGTCACTCGAACCTTTAGCAACAGCTTGCAGGTTGTTTGACAACAATGCTCAGGTCTGTTACCAGGCCTCTTTTCAGCAAGAGTCTCCAAATGACCTGCGATGTTTCAGTTTGTTAAACCTTAAGACTTCTGTGCGCCGCCGGAGATTCAAGAGAAAAGAGAGTGTTAATCCTCCACTTTGCGTTACGACCGATCACGTCTCTCCCTCAAAAAAACATAACTGTGCAACCTCTGCAACTGGATTCAGAAAAAAAGGATACCCCATCGTCATGCTGGGAGGAAAAATGGATCCGATTTGTTGCTAACCCGTTGTCAGACAGGGTATCACAGTTCTGCAGCCAGAAGTGCCACGTCCTGTTTAAATGTTGTGAAACACAAATCCCGAGCAGAGGCAGGCCTGCTGCAGGATTGCTTGTTACATGGCTCAGCAGACAAGCCAAAACTCTTCTAAAAATGAGGCAGAGAGGAGATGGCACGGAATCTCCCTGGGAACAACTTCGCTCCATTTCTGCTCTGCTCACAGTGGATGGAAAAGTAAAATGATTGGGCTTCCCCAGCAATAGAGAACTAGGGCCAGGCCTCAGCCTCACGCCATGGATGGATTCTTTAAAAGCAGCTTATTAATTAAAATAAATGACCACCAGTGCATAACCTTTGGCCACAAAAAATACTTTAAACCAGGGATGAGAAACCCACCCATTCTTATAGGTAAGTGCGCTGTAGGTTTTACACATATAGATTAAAAGGTTTTTCCCATATACTGTAGAAACTACTGTGTGCATTTAAAACTGAGAACAGGAGGCGTTTCTTTACCCAAAGGGTTGTGGGAGTATGGAACAAGCTGCGCAGCTGCTTCAGCTGATCCCCCGACTTCTTACAAGAAGCTGCTGCATGAAAACCTGTGATCAATTAGCAATGAAGTAACCAAATGGGCCAGTTGGACTGAATGGCATCTCGTTTGTCACTGTTCTTCCCTGTAAAAGCAACAGGTGATGCAGCTACTTATTTCATACTTAATGCAAACAAGCAACTGAATATCAGAGATGGAATAAAACCAGGGATCAGGTCGCTCAGCCCTGCTCTAGAACACTTAAAGAAGAGAATACAGGTTTTCGTATTTGTCATTTTCTCATTGTCAGGTTTGGCATTAGCACCATTTTAAAGGAATCAAAAAGGGGAAGGGAGACGAATACCATACAGTTCCTAAATCACAGATTTGTACAGAAAAGGAAATGGTGCTCATGACATCTGAAAAAGACAAAAAGCTCAATTTAACATGACCAACTATTTTAAAATACCAGGAAGGGGACTGGAAGTTTGATTTTTCAGGTTTTCTGCCTTGTGAGTGATTCTGGCGAACGTTACAGACGCACTCTAATTGTAAAGTCTGCCACGCAAGCACTGAATGCCCATTCCCAGTTTTTTTAAATCCCGCTGTCCTGTTCTGAAATCGAACAAGGCCAGACGGGTGAAAGAGGTTTAGAAAGGGTCCGACGCCCCCGCGCTCTCCCAGGAATCGTGTCCCTTTCCTGGTGGCTCTGACGGATGAACTGCAGAGCTGCGGAGCCGATGAGAGCGGGCGTCTCAGCTGCTGTCCTCCGCCTCCTCGTTCTCCCGGCTCTCCCTCACCCCGCTCTCGTCCACGTTCTCCAGGGACTCTCCGCGCTGGATAGCCAGCTCCGACGCCTCCATTGAGGGCAGGGTGCTCTGTTCGGGGTGGTACCAGGGCTTCTTGTCCGGGGAGTTGTGCTTCTTCCACTCGGGATACTGCTGGCCGGCCTTGTGCACGCACTTCAGCACCTGGGAGAAAGGCAGGAGGCGGACGTGAGCAGGGGGCACGTTTTTAAATCAGGGGGGCCTCGTTTTCCGGCAATCTTCCTTCCGTTTAAGTTTTGTAGGTTTCTTTACGTTTCTTTAGCCTCAACAAGAATGAGAAGAGCTGTGCGGGTCGGGAATGAGCCCTGGCTTTTGGCTGCCTTCAGGAAACAGCAGGATGAGATCCTCGGACCACAGCATAGCTACTGACTACCGAACACCCTCCTCTTGTCTGTAACCTCCTGCGTGAATTCAACAGGTTCTCCAAGGTTTGCTTTGCTCCCCGCCATACAAACACATGACCTTCCCTTTCCTTTGCTAGCAGATCCTTGAATGCATCACCACTGATGCTTCTCAACTCAATATGCTCAATCTAAAGCTCTGATGTAGTACAGAACAAAAAGATAATAATACATAAAGCTACCCTGACAGAGGGGTTCGAGCTGGGCCAGGTGGATACTGTGAAACTCTACATCGGGGACTTTCGCATCGCAAGCCTGCGGGCACGCAGAACCTGCCCCGCGAGATGTCAGTTCACACAGTTTCCAGTCTCGACGTCGGCCCCCTGCATTCCTGCTGCCAGAACTGGAATTTCCAGTGTTGCTACGGAGACCGTCACAGCTAGCGAGCGGAAACGGCCCTTACCTTCGGAGCCAGGTACTGCGAGGCCTTGTTCACCACCCACTTCGGAAGAGAACCTGGAAGAAGGGAGGGACGAGGGATGAGGAATGAGTACGCAGGGAAATGCTCCGGGATTCGGGTTTGTCTTCACTAACCCCTCCCCTTCAGATAGGGCAAAAACAGGCCACTCCGCCCTTGCCAAAAACACGCCCTGCCGGGGTCTTCCAGCGCGGCGCTCATGAGGGAGGGAGCCAGGCTTCCCGCTGATCGATCCCGGCAGAAGAGACAGACGGAAGAGGGAGCGTGGCGGCTCTCACCTTTAGGGTCGGCCTGCGACAGGTAGGTGAAGGTGCAGCTGTCGGGCCCAGTCGGCTCCAGCAGGTACCCCGTCAGGATGGAGATCGCCCTCACCAGGTCCTTACGGGGGGGGTATTTCTACAACAGAACCAGGGATCAGGGCACCCGTGAAACCCCCAGGAACATTAGTGTTCCAGCCACCACACACCACTCTCTCCCACTGGAACATCTCATCTCATTTCACTCCTTCCACCAATGACCTCCAGCAGACACACACATTTGGGCCTTCATCTGCGTTCACTGGGACATCGATACAGAACACCAAACTCGGGTAGAACTATTTGCTTATTAAATCGCTGTGCCAACACCCCTGCGAATAGGGAAGAGAATACGATGCCAGTTTAGAGTGAAGGGGGTGTGTTGTGCACATGCAGGCATAACTATACAAGCGAGAACCAAACCTGAGGGAATGTCCTCACACAGACAGTATCGAGGTGTTGTGGGGATTAGTGTAGAGGTCCTTCCAGGACAAATGACTTTTTATAACCCCGAACAGCACCTTCTTCCATGTGTACAGGGGGGCAGCTGTGAGTTTCAGGTCTACTTCATTGCGGGTGAAGTTTTGTTTTGGTGCCGAACAGCAAGAGGAGGACTGAACGAGGTCTTCCCAGGGGCAGAATGAAGAGGGGGCACCGGCCGGCCCAGGGGGAGAGAGAGGGGACGTACCGGGTGCTTGACGGAGTAGTTGATGATCATGTATGCGTTGTCCTTCACCTGCCAGGCCCTCAGGGTCACCACATCTCTGTTCTTCAGCGGCTTTGGACAGATCCCTGGGAACACAAGCAAGAGGACACGCCCCCTCCTTACCCACAGTGCTCCTCTCCATTCCGACCCCACCAGCAGGTTCAGTAACAGGGCCCTGTCACGGCACAACGAGACGGCCACTTCCCCCTCTCCCCTTGGCAGAAACAGAGGACGCATCTAACCCTGCCAGGTCTGTCCCATACAAGGCATCTGATTGCGTTACTCACCTGCATGGCAGACTAGGATAATCTACCTCACCACATGCCAGCGCTCGATGTGGGGACGTTCTGTTGAAGCTGAATCAGGGCTCTATGTCAATAAGACCTTTGCACAGACAAAAAGTCAAGAAGCTAAAAATAACCCAATTGAAAACCACCTCTTTTGGAAAGTTTTTATTTGATGGCAGTTTCATAACGTGTTAGCACACGTACAGATTGCGACAATGCTTACTTTTTTGGGACGTTTTTCTTTGAAATAAAGTTTATTTTGCTACAAAAAAAAAAGAACCCAAGCGTTGGCTGAATATGAACTCTAAATGAAACCTGCATGTTGTCTGAGGAGCTCTGGGGACAGCACCCATCTGTTTGCACACAGATCCCCAGCCATGCCGAGTGTACGCTGGCAACAATAACTTAGATCCCTAACTGACCCTAACCTGGAGGTTTACCAGACTGGGTGGGGGGGAAGAGGTTCAGAGCAGCAGCTGGGAGAAGCAGTTTACAGAACAAGGGGAAAAGGCTTTCAAAATTGCAAGTAAGGGGGTTACGCGTGACAGGAAACTCGATTCTGCAAGTCCGTGGAAATTCCAGAAATATCATTTGCTCATCCTGGGCTACAGCAGAGCACATTTAAGGCTTGACTGCCACCTTGATTGGGGTGACCACACCTAGACCTCTGAACCCTGTACCCCAAGACACTGTCCCAGCTATCTCCTGATGGCCTCCACTTCTCCATGATCCACCCAGCAAAGATCGCGCCATTGTTCTCAGGCCTCACTCTGATTTAATAAAGCCTGTTGCTGAAAACAGTGGAGGGGGGCAGCAGCCCGACTTACAAGAGTAGTACCCCACATCGGCGTTGTCCGTGATGCGGGCGATATCGTAGCTCTCCAGCACGGTGGGGTCCCATTTCTTGCGGTATGCGCCGTCGTGCAGAACGTCGTACATGGTGGCCGCCGACACGTCGTTGATGGTCATCTTGCACTACGAACAGCAGAGAGAGAGAGTAACCCCACTGACCACCTCTTCTTCTTCTTCCTCCTCCTCCTCCTCCTGCTGCTGCTGCAGGATGGGCAAGAACACTGCAAAAGCCAGGGGCAGCCGATGAAAAGCAGGCCAGGCTACTCAGATGCCAAGCCCGATGAGCGGAAGGAGAACTCATGGAAAAGTGCCACCTGCTGTGACTGAGCTGGAAGGTGTTAACAGGCGGTCAGGCTTCGTGACTGAAAGCAGTGCGTGTGACAACAGCTAACTGGGTACTGGCTGTAGCGGTGCAAGGCTGTGTAGGTCATTCAGAACACAAATACCAACACAATATAACTCTCAAGGGCGACAGTTGGCTGCTGCTGAGGGGACTTCATTTAACGAATTAACTCAGAGCAATGATCAAGAGCCACGTTTGAGTGTTTACAGACTACAGATTGAAGGCTGCTCCGCACGGCCTGCTGAGGCTCTCCTACACTGGAGCTGCCCGCAACTGACCCAGAGGACACAAGAACTGACCAGGAAACTGCAGCAGGGCCAGTTAAGGGCACTGTGCACAGGAGTTTGGTCAGGCTGCTGCAGAAGAGACAAAAGGCATTTACAGTCACAAAATGTGCACACACTTCTGTAATCTGACGCGGAGTGGTTTTCAGTATTAGTATTCCTGAGGTGTAGTTCCTATTGATTCTCTTTTTTAACAAGCTAAAGATTATTACTCTGTACAGCGCTCTGCCCCGCCCAATACTCAATCTCTCTCCTTTTCAGCAGTAATTGCTGGGTCGAAACAGTAAGAGCAGCTCCCCTCTGAACAGGACACCAGTCTGTAACAGGCCTAGAGAGAGCACTGGTGATCTCCCTACTATATGCTGTTGCTGTATTAGAAAACGTGATCCTGCGGAACATTCTGAACTTCAACAGCATTAGATATAGTTGCATATTCTAATAGGACACAGCAGAGAGTGTTACGATACCGTTAACATGGTTGTATAGCATTTGGCAAAAATATTTTTACACAGAACTGGCGTTGAACACCTGCTACTTCCACAATGCCGAAGAAAACTGCCCCCACTGCATTGAAAAACAGGAGTTCCTTGAAACGGAAGCATCGTGTTCGCGTACCTGAACAGCAGACAACTACTATTTAAATCCACAAGCACGGTTTCAGATACTATATATATATATTACTTTTAGCTCGAGCACGAGGCCAGACTATCGTATCACAGCAAATGATAACGATGATAACCGTTAGGGCTCGGTGTTTTCGATCAATGGAGAGTTTTGTCACCCAGAACGCAGCGATAGGAGTCGGAATGTGAATTTACAACAAGAGCGAAACAGCGGTCAAGACACACGCGATTGCACGCAGCCCGTCCTCACGCTGTTTGCGTTAAAACGCTGCCCTTCGCTCTCGCCACCGAGCCTCCAGGTAATTCGCTCCACTTACCTTGATCTTGTGCACTTTAGACACGTGGTTCTTCCCCCTGTCCTGCGCCGCCGGCACCGGGGCCACCTCGACCCAGACCTCCATCCCGCCGTGGCGGTACTTGCTGACCCAGTTCTCTTTAGACTGGCACTGCCGTCTGAAGTCGGAGAAAACCGAGTCGTCCGGGACCACCGCCGAACCGCTCGCCATTCCTGATCTTGGAGGCGACAGACTCTCCGGATTAGACGCTGCTTTGTTTGTTTGTGTGTGTGTCTGTGAGGGGGCGTTAAAGCAAATCTGACAACCTATAAATTTAGCGGATGCTCAGCTCTTTTTCACGGGTCATCACCCGCCGCGGTGCCCGCAGTCTCTCCTGTGCAAACCCCCCTCGGGACAGTTCGGCGAGTTGTCTGGGCAGACCAAGTCAGTCCTGTGCGCGTCTCTCCCAGGCTCCGAGTCTCTGCGCTGCAATGAACGGACCTCGAGTGCTTATCTCCCTCGGGTTTGCCCAGTCTGGTCCAGCCGGATTCCTGTGTCTGGGATTCCTTTCCTGCTGAACATACCAGACCTTCACTCTCTCTCCCTCTCTCTACCCCCGAGGCGAAACTTCCGGCGAATCACGGCAGGTGCGTCAAAAGCAACACACACCCCGCAGTTCCTCTGATAAGACCTTCTCTGCTCCCGGCATTATGTAGATGAAGGGCCCGTCCAGGAGTTGCAAACTATGTGAACTCCGCCGGACTCCTAGCAGGTTCTCAGCTCAACAAACCTGACAGGTGGGGTAACTCACAGGTTGCTAAGGAGGCGAGCCGGAGCCCGGAACTGCACAGTCTTGCAATATCATGATTGCGGCCGTAGAGAAGACTGCTTTGCGCCCTGTCCCGGCACAGGGCTACGCAATAGGAAAACGTGCAGCGGCGTTGCAGAATACGGGAAGCGCACGGCTTGCTTTCTACGCCCTCCTGGGACTGACCCAGCCGCAGGGGAGACGTTTTCAATTGGTCTCGAAGTTATCCCCCGTTAACTTGTCACTATGGGCACGAAAGCAGAGCTGGGCTGGACAGGACTTGCGATAGGCTGCCTGATTTTTTTTTTTAGGAGGGCGTCATACCGAAACGACTCACCTCCACAACGCCGTGACAAGTTCCCACTCTTGAGTCACGCCTCGATCACTGCCACGTAGCTTTCGCGATGTATGTTCTAGGGGAAGAAACACCTTTTCCCTCACAGTCGCACAGAACAGTACTGCGCTTCGTTGGAAGCGTGACAGTGACGTCAGTGGAAAGTCAGACCGAGAGGCGCACAGTCAAGTTCATTCACTGTCAGAAAGGCCCAGAACAGCCCGGAACAGACTGCATCATGTTCTGAACTTCATAACGCAAATTGTGGGCCCGCAGGCTCTCCCTCTGCTTCATTGACTTCACAGGTCGTGGTCGCAAACCTCTTCTTTTGAACTGCATGTAAAACGCTTTCTTGTAAGGCTTGGCAAGCTTCGATGTCTGAACCTTTACGGTGCACAGCATACCGTAATAAAAAGACCCCTTTTCAAGACCCTTTTACAATGACCCTGTTCATTTTTAACCCGTTTACATTACACAGAATATGCGGAGCATCAATGTCCCCCTTTTCCTACAGGTAACGATGAATCAAGACCTGCTAGTTTTAAGAAAATCTTTTTTTTTATGTGTCCCTTTTCCAAAACCAAAAAGGTCTCCCCCACAAACTACATAATTTATTTTTCGCCCTCCCACTCCAAATAACAGCTAACAGGTGTCACAGGGATCACCCCTACCCCTCGAGCGCCGCATAAAATAATTTGTTGAGGTTGAAGTTGTTTTAAGCCTTTAAAATGTGTTAAAATAGTGAAATGTTCCAGGCTCAGTTAATGGCGACGTTTTGATATTCACAATAAAGGTAGTACTCGTCTAAAACGTCAGCCTTAATTAACATTTGCTTGCAATATTAAATAAAAACATCTGTGTTTTAACTCTGACCTAGTCCAGTCACTACAGCAGTATTTAAGCAGCTTCTAGGGTCTGTCAAATCTGCGAGGAGTGGGCCGCCTAGTGGGCAATGGGAGAACTGCACGCAACATACCCAGGACCTGGTAGTTCAGGTGGGGAGCTGCGTCAGCATGCGTAGGCTGCAAAGGAACAAGTAACAGGTTTATTCCCTGCTGAAAAGAGAAGAAAGAGAACACAACGTTTCGTCCGTGCAGGTAATGTCCTTTAAAATAAAGACATTACCTTTGCTTACTGCCCTGTCTTTCTCACACCTGAAGAAGGCTTCACGGGCGAAACGTTGTGTTTTCTTTCTTCTCTTTTCAGCAGGGAATAAACCTGTTACTTGTTCCTTTGGTACCCAGGACCTAGTTCTGTTTCCACATTATATCAAGCGGGCGAGAGAAACCAAGTTTTTGGTGAAACCTCTTAACTTTATTTCTCCGTGATACACTTCGGTGTTTTTTTTTATTTGTTTTTACAGCAGATAGTACATTATTCACACAAACTTCGCTAAAGACTAGTGGACAGCAGGTTTAAAATGGACAGACACACTCCAGATAGCACAGAGCTGAATATTCAGTCAGTGACAAATTACTTAAAAGTGACCAGTTCAGATAAAGAGGGTTCTTTCAAACAGGATAGTCAAATTAATATCTACATTTTTTTAAATCTTCTTAAACATTGTCAGACAAACTACAGTGAATAGGCCCAGTGGGCAGGGAAGGTGGGGTTAGTGTTGATCCTGTGGGGAGAGTGTCTTTCCAGCCCAGTGCAGACTGACACAGACACACTACTGCAGAGACACAGAGACAGGCCTGGGTTCGAATACGACTGCGGTGAGATGGGGGGGTTTGGAGCCCCCCTGTGTTTTAAGGTACAAAATTCAAAACTAAACAACTGGCTTCCTTTTGTTGCAAGTATAGTCCAGCGAAAAAGATTTCAATATTTACGAATCATAAGAAAGGACAAAAGCAAGCAACTCAGACAGGGGCCAGAGGGCAGAGGGCAACGAACACACTTCACTTGCACTGCATTTCCACAGGAGCAGGCCGGCAAGCAGCCGGGTCTACTGGCCACTCACAAGACTGGCTCAGACCAGCCCCTCGCGGGCCGGGACCTTGACCAGACTAGGATTGCACGGCATAAGGCAACAGCTACAGCTCCGCAGTTTCCCCGTTCACTTCCCATCACCCGCCGAGTTCTCCCTCATCCGAGCTGTAAGGGCTCGTTCGGAAAACCTCCTCCGCTACCGGTTGGAGACGCGGGGACTGACCGCGGCCCCATCTGAGTAAACGGGGGAACCTCCATTCTAAGCAAGCACCGTACTGCAGCACGGTACAGCAGACTGTCGGGTGAAAACAGCGCCGTGGTGGGTCATTTCATATGTACAACAATGTGGCATGCTGGGTAAACGGGCCTTCTACAGAATATATACAAGGTCCATCTCTCTCTCTTGCCGCCTTAGTTCTTCCTGTTCAATAGCTAGCACACCCTCACTTGAAAATGCCCTCCGTTATCAAGTGTGAATAGTTTCCTGGCTTAAACTAAGGTTTGTCGAGTTGAGCTCTGTTTGGATGTTAAAAGACAGCATTTGATTTTCACTCGTGTGATAAAGCAGGGAGGAATATGTTCTCTGAAGATGGCAAGATTGGACTGGGTGGCATGGACGGACAATACCGCTGTTACGGCACCTATTAAAAAAAAAATCACAGGATTTAGAATTGAGGAACAACACCTCTTGCTGGAAATGACAGTGTGACCCATCGGTGACCAGGGATCTCAAATTACTTTATAACTGGCTCTGGGACAGGATTCTGCTTTGAAAAAGTAAAAATCAACTATGAATGTATTGAAGTAATTTCATGCTCACTGTCGGAAAGGGCTATTGAGAACTCTCCCTCTTCACATCCTGCCCAGCCTATTCAGCATGACCACCAGGTCTGGGTACCACGATGGAACAGCTGTCGCGTTTCAAAGCAAAACCAAGACACTGAAGCAACGGGCGAAATAAAACAAAGTTACTTCTTTCAGCTGCACAGAAGTGGCCTTCTTCACATTTCAACATTCACAATACAATATATTTATATAATTTTTAACACTTTTTTTAACCATTATTCACCAATGACAAGAGTGGAAACGGCACCAAATTTGCTCCAGAAAAAGTGCAAGAACTCAAAAGAGTGGAGGGAGAAGCTATCTCAGTCTGCAATCCTACACACGCCATGCAGTCAGAATAGATGAGATTTGAACGTATCGGCATTTAACTTATCCTGTGTTTTAATTAGTTTACACTTTTAAACTTTTTTTTTTGTCTCGTTTTGCTTAAATACAGAGTAGTTAGCACATCCACACGGTTACTCCGAAAGTCACTGAGTCGACGAGGAAACAGGTTCTCTAGCCAATGGCGTGGTGACGCGGTCGGTGCGAGTGGCCAATGAGAGTCGAGCTGTTGGGAGAGGAGGGCGGGAGGGGGGCGGCACTAGCAGGAGCAGCTGCTCTCGGTGACGGGCTGTTCCGGCGGCTTCTCCAGCTTGATGTCGATCACTGAGGCGCCCCTGTCAAGGATCGCTAGCGCACAGCACGGAAAACGGCCGTACCCGACGGCCTGCCTTCTCCGCCGGGAGCCGGAAGTGCATTGCTCCTCTCTCGCAGGCTCGAGGGCAGGCCGTCACGGGCTCTTTATTCGTCCTTCCCATGCAGAGCAGACACGTGCTGCTTTGTTACTCTACGTCCCCATTCAGGCCCTGTGAAACCTTCCCCCGTCACGACCCGCCATGAGCTCCAGTCAGTACCGGGGCCTGCAGCCTTCCAGCGCTGTGGGGCAGGACCCCAGGCCCAGAAACTGAGGTGGGCTGAGGTGCCGTGGGCTTAATAAAGCAGAGCCGGACAGGTCCCCCGGGGGTACAGAACCTGCATCCTTCTCTGTCCACAGGAATGATACGATTTCTGTGTTTTACAGCAGCCCAGGCTGTAGAATAAGGACATTCCTAAACTTGAAAAGGGAACCCCGTCCTTCGATCCAGCAAAATTGGACAAGGCTGGCTCCCTGGCTGGACACAGAGGTGGATGCAACTATAGGCACTCAAAAACCACAAAGATGTAAATGACAAAACACCATCTGTGTGATTTTTTTTTACAGATCCATTGAGTAGGAACTGCTTATAGCCACGCGCAGTAGCGTTTGCTCAAATAAATGTCCACTGCTTACTCCACACGTTGTTATTTTTAGGTCTATGGAGTCCATTCAGTCAATATGATGAGGCACACTGATCAAAACGCATGAATGGTGTTTTGATTTTTTGTGCAGCATACCCTGCATTACAAAATGCGTTCCTGTGAGCCAGACAGTGTGTAGGACAGCACAGGAACCCCCAGTCTTCAAGGTACAAAGCAGTGCACATGGCTCAGGAGTGAAATCCCACTCATGCAGAACTGGACTTATGGACCAGTTTCCAGAACTGAACTCTGACATAAATCAGGACAGTACTGACTACAACCCCCGTCCCCACCCCCACCCCCCTCACACACAGCCCACAGGCCTGCTGGGAAGGATACTGTCCTCTTTACTCTTCTCAGGCGTGCTGTCCATCCCTGGCAGCGCTGCAGCCACGCGGCGGAACAACTGAGGGACAGGAAGGAGGGGGGAGAAACTTCAGTCCCGTTGTGTCTCGGACTAGAGCTGTCTGCGTGGCGCTGTCCTTGATCCTTGAACTGTACAACCACGGGCCTGTATCTGAACGTCTGCCACTACTTAATCAGGCCACATGAACATTTTTACAAGCTATTCCTGGCCAAGCTTCTTTCTGATTGAATGCTTCTGCTGTCAAGAGATTCACTGCTGCTTAGGATTCGGCAATCTAAACTCACTAAGAAGACAGGAGAGAAGAGCAGCAGTGAATAATTTAATTCCATACCTGCAGTAAGTTATGACTTATTTATATTTAGCAGAACATTTCTTTGGATCTCTCGTTCATTTTGTCCTGAGAGCTTTCAAAAGCACCTACAGCACAGAAGGTGGATAACCAGCATGCTGGTTCAGTACTGCAAATACACACTAAAAACAAAACAGGCTGATGAGGAACGAGCCCAACGCAGGCAAGCCCTCAGCCACTTGTATTGTGAATAAAAGCAACCACAGGATGTGATACGAGCCATGCCCCGCCAGCACATTCACAGCTCTGTGAGGTTAAGGAGACACCCCGAAGCCTCTGCCTGCTGTTAAAGCAGCAGACGGGTGCAGTTGAACTGAAACACCACAGACTGCTGAGGAAGGCAGCAGAGGCAGTGGACGACCCCAGAGTGAGGCAGTGAGGAAGGGCAGGAACTAGGAGGAAAGGCTGGGAGAGATGGGAGAGGACAGAGGCAGGAGGAGGGAAGGGTAGGAACAGGCTGGGCTGGAGAAGTCCGTGTCTATACCTGTTTGACATTGTAGCCAGTCTTTGCGCTGGTCTCAATGAACATGACGTTCAGTTCCTTAGCTCTCTGCTCGCCCTCTTCTGTGGTGATCTGCCTGCTCCAGCCAGCGAACAGAGGCACAGACAGGGCAGACAAACGGACAGAGACGGAGAGATGACGTAATAAAAACACAAAATCCGAGAAGAAGGGAGAGGGAGAAAGAGAGAGAGAGAGAGAGACAGACAGGTGAGCTCGGAGCGGGTCCCGAAATCAGTGGAGAGAATTCAAGGTTAGCGGCTCGACAGAGCACGACCTGCTTTCCCAAGTCAGCCAGGAAAGACCTGACAGAAGAGTCTCAGATAGTGAGTATTAAGCCTTTCGTTCACAGGACAATTAGTCAACAGAGAGGAACTGCCTACGACCACTAAACCTGAATCTGAGGCTCGGAGAAGCGTTTTTAAGAGGCACCAAGCCACGGGACACACAGACACGAACGCTGCCCTCCCCTTTTTACTACCGAGTCTCCTGAGCAAGCGCTGGAGCGAGAGACTGCTGACACAGAAGGGTGGCCTTCAACAGGGGGGTCAGTGCATGCCGATCAGAGTCCAGACGCTCTCTCTGCGCCCGTGGCACGCTCTGCACAGGAAGGGCGGCGAGACCAGAACATCCCTCTCGGGCGATCGTGGGTTTTTTTCCGAGATTCCGGCTCGCAGGCCTGCGGCTGCCGGACACCCACCTGCTTGACGTTATATCCTGCCTTGGCGCTGGTCTCTACGTACATCACATTGAGCTCCCGCGCTTTCTTCTCGGCGGCCTCTACAGACACCTGCCTGCCGCAGGGAGTGGGGGGGGGGACAGCAAATCAAAGAGTGACCGGGGGGGGAGAAACAGAACGGGGGAAAAATAAACAGAACACACGTGTCTAGAAAAAAGCAACGTAACTCCAGGAAACAGAGCCAACTTCATAACAAAACAATAAAAATGTGAAATTAAAAGGAAGCAAATAATAAGCGAGTACCGCATTATTCTTTAAAATGAGAATAACAGTGATGCTAAAAGAAGAACAAAATATGATTTTAAAAAAAGTCTTAAAAAAGCAGTCTTTGGGGAGGAAAGGAGAAGCAGGCTGCTCTAAGGAGCACCTCCGCTGTTGTTCCTGGATTTGATTTAAACGTGACTGCGCACAGAAAAGCACAACCTCGAATCCCAGCCAGCAGCCACTCGGTGACACCTCCCATCCTCTCAGTACGGACCCCATACCTCTTATCGGCCAGGTCCGTTTTGTTCCCCACCAGCATGATGATGACATCACTTCCTCTCTCCGTTCTGACGTCATCGATCCACTTTGAGGTTTGCTGGAAGGAGTTGAGGTCTGAGGAGGAGAAACGATGACAATTCATAGGATTATAACCCAAGCCACCCTGTGTGGCTCGTTTAGCAACCTTTCTGAGCAAGAAAGGAGACTTTCACACTAAGTATCCGAAATACTGTAAGAGCTGAAAGAAGCAGTGCCCAAGGCTCCACTGATGATGAAGATACAGTGTATGCTTTACTTCCAAATCTGTATTTACATCCCACAAGGACAGGGACACAATATACCAAGAGCTGAGTGAGAAGCGGATCCCGAGAGGACACACGAGGGCACACCCAGGCCTGGGAGGTCCACAGCCTGTCAGTTGTACCACCTCCCTTCGGTCACGTCTCTCTGCAGCTCTGGGCTGTGCTGACTAAGAAACCACCAGGTACGGCCGGAAAGGGACTGAAGAAGCAAAGAGCAAGCAGGAGACCCCCACCCATCCCCACCACACCCCGCCCCGTCCCGCTCGTTAATGGACACCAGGAAACAGGCCCAGAGACGGGGCAGGAAAGCACCAACTCACTGGTGATGTCATACACCACGACAGCGATGGTGGAGTCGCGGATGTAGCTGGGAATGAGGCTGCGGAAACGCTCCTGCCCGGCTGTGTCCCACAGCTGCAGCCGAACCTGAGAGGAGGAAGGCAGGAGACGGGGGGGGAGGGGGGAGAGATGAAGAAAAGGGGGCCGGAGGAGGAGGACGGGTGGGGGGGGGACAGAGCAAAAGTGAAAGAGCTGCAGACAGCGAGAGAAAGAGCTTTGCGAAGAGTCAAAGACCTGCCGCCTCACTGCCCATCTTCAGTATCGGCGAAAAGCCAGAGAAAACGCTTCAGATAACAGCTGCAGGACACATGTGACTTTCATACCCAAACCGAATGACTCTGGATTCTCTCCAGTAGGAAAACGTATCGGCACACCTTATACACGTCAGCACTAGGCTGGACTTCAAGGCAGCCATTATCTGACAGCGTTTCCTTGATTCCTGCACCAGCAACTGGGCAGTCAGCATTCCATCAGCATGAGTGCAACTGGACACACCTGCGCTGCGCTTGCAGCCCAGTGAGCGAGAAACAGCTCCCACTGGAACATTCTGCACCCTTCTAAAAAACAGCGACATGGCCCAGGTGGGAGCATGAGGGCAGCTCCAGGCCGACGCGTCGCCCAGGTGGCTGCGCAAGGCCCACCTGCCCGCGCGCGAGCGAGAGGGGTGGCCAGCGAGAGGTCAGTCATTCGGCCGGTCGAGCTCGTGAGGTAGTCAGCGATCCAGGGGTCTCGCGCGAGATCCACCGATCTCATCCAGCTGTTTCCCGAAGGAAGGTAGGATATCGGCTTCAGCAAAAACCATTCCTCTTTCAAGACGCGGCAAGCAAGGAGACGCAGCGCCCACTGCAGGGGGGGGCTACGCCCCAGCATTGCGGACTGAGGAGACTGTGGTCAACTACTCCGCAGCCTTATTCCCCAGCCCAGAGAAGAGGAACCAGATACGTTCCAGCGCTTGATGGAATGTGCTCCACTGACGGGCCTTTAGATCTGCACAGAGACGGTCCCGATGGCAGCTGGTGCGAGGACCCGGAATCCTGCAGGGCACCGTCCAAGTCGGCCCATTCTTCAGAACGACGAGTGGGGAAAAAAAGACAAACCAGAGGTCGCAAGGGGGGACCACTCAGGAAGTACCAGTCAAACTGAAACAGCACTTCTTCACGCAAAGGGGCGATGGGGATGTGGTACAGGCTACCCCGCCATGCTTGCTGAAGCCAATTCCCTTCCTCCCGTGAACGAACGAGCTGGCTGAGACCCTCTGGTTAATCAGCCGCCAACCACCACAACGTGCTCGCCGAGCCGAGAGGCCTGGTCTCGCTCGGCGCGACTGTGCAGCAGCCACGAGCCTCGTTCTGGGGGGGGTGTCCGCGTGCTGCGTGATGGAACTGCGACGCCCAGCCTGCTCCGCGAGGGGGGGGG